GGCGGCGCTCCCGCCGCGGTCCCCCGCAGGGGTATGAGCGGCGCTGCGTTGCCCGCGAGCTGAGAGACCTACGAGCTTCCCGATGAAATAACCGCGGAGCGCGTTAGGTTGGCTGGGCTCCTCGCTGGCAGCTGTAACTCCTTCCTTTCCTAGAGATGGATTTCGAAGCGATTAAAAAATCCTCGGCGTTGCACCCGAAGCCTGCTGGGCTCACTCTTCAGTATGGCACCGCCGGGTTTCGCACCAAGGCAGAGCGGCTCGACCATGTCATGTTCCGCATGGGCTTCCTGGCGGTCCTCAGGTCCAGAGCCACCGCGTCTACCATTGGCGTCATGGTCACAGCGTCTCACAATCCTGAAGTAAGAGCAACCTTGGCTTAAAAAAAGAAAGCAGCTGTGATCAGTCTGGGGGAACCAAAGCTCCTCATCATGGGACGGGAAAAAGTACCCCGAGACTGGTTCCTACAAGCTCATGCGCCTGATTAAAGCGTGTGTGCAGACTCCTCCTTGCAGTTACCACCGCCTGCCTGTTCGACGTTGCTTTTCCTTGTATACAGCACTCTCGTTTTGTCTTATTTTGAAAAGGAAAGGCTGTAACGTAGGGAATTTGTAAGGTTGGCAAGCTAAGAGCTCCCTTGGGATAAAGCTTTGGGCAGAATCTGTTAGTTTAAAAAATGCGAAGTTGTACAAATAAGGCATTTAGGCTTCTGCTGCTGTGGAGCATTCCAGGTTGTGGGATCTCCCGTTATCTGATTTTAATGTCAATAAATTTCGTAGCAAAATGGTAATGGGGCAAGTGACTTAATATGCTGATTACATTACTTGTTTCGGCTTGATGCAGATTTAGTAGCCAAACCGTTTCTTCCCGGAAATGTGCTAAATTTGAAGAATCAGTTTGATTAACCAATATGTTTTGGCTGTCTTCAGAGGGATTTTGTTTAGTTTCCGTGTCTTAGGCTTAGTGCATTTTATTCTGTTTTCTTCTAAGGAAGATAATGGTGTGAAGTTGATTGATCCTCATGGTGAAATGTTGCATCCTTCCTGGGAAGAATATGCTACACAACTAGCAAATGCAGAGGAGCAAGAACTGCAGAAAGTAATGACTGAAATCTGCCAAAAAGAGGAGGTGAACCTGCACAAAGATGCTTTGGTTTTTATTGGTAGAGACACCAGGTAATTGCAAAATACTATAGATGGATGCTGCTTTTATTGAGGTGCCAAAATTTTGTTCACAGGTGTTAGTGGATTTCTAGCTCTCCATAACCAGATTATGCATTTTTACACCCAGTCTGGTAACTGTTAAAGTAATTATTCAGGTCCAGAAATGTCCTTTTCCAGAAACACAAGGTTGTTCCAATGTTGTTACTGCAGTAACTGATAATTATGAAAACTTCTTAGCATGAAAACTTCTGAACTGGATGCTCTGTTGAGTTTTTTTTTGTGGGTACTTTGGCACACTCATGAGTTTAGAAGTTTACCTGTCTTCACAGTTCTCTGGGGTCGTGTTTTTAAACTTTTCTGTTCTTTTAAACTTTTCTATTAGTAGGACCCTTACAGTATAAATGTAGTTATCTTCCACAGGCACTTCCTTCCAAAGACCATAAAGTGTTTTCTTTTTTTCTAGACCGAGCAGCAAGAAACTTTCCCAATCAGTAATAGATGGTATCTCTGTTCTAGGTGGACAATACCATGGTATGTTGAGCTTTCGGTTCTAGTTTGACTTCATGTTCTTACGTAACTGTGAGACTCTTATGTAGATCTAACAGAGTAGCCCAGATACCGTTTCTATTTTTGCTTGTAACGGGTCTCTTTTTTCAGGATAGTTGTCTTGCTTAATGCAGGGTGGCTCTTCTTTCCATAAAAGAGCTAGAAAATTTTTATATGGGTTTCCTGCGCTGTATTTGTCTGTTTGCTGTAAAATAGCAAATATCATAAGACTTTAAGGAGGAATGAGTTTAGTGTTCTATTTTTGAATATTGTGTCTTTTATTTTGTATTAGATTATGGTCTGGTGACAACACCACAGCTACATTACGTGGTCTTCTGTCAAAACACCCAAGGACAGTATGGGAAAGCAACACTGGAGGGTTATTACCAAAAACTATCTAAAGCTTTTGTAGAACTGATCAAACAGGTGAATACTGTTAATTATCATCTTCCTGCAAACATACAAAATGGATATTTTCGGTTTGTTAGCCTAAACCCAGTCTAAGGTTTTGAATTCAGCATGTCTGTAAGTGCAGTGAGAGAACGTATGGTTTCACTAGGGTCTAAGTGCAGTGAGAGAATGTATGGTTTCACTAGGGTATAAGTTCACTTCCCCCTTCTTCCCTTAGGCTAATTCTCCCAGCTCTGGAGATAGTCAAAGGCATCTGAAGATTGACTGTGCCAATGGAATAGGAGCCCTGAAACTAATGGAAATGCAGCACTACTTTCCAAAGGAGGTACAAATTCACCTATATAATGATGGAACTAAGGAGAAGCTCAATCACTTATGCGGTGCAGATTATGTAAAAGTTCATCAGACATCACCAGGAGGTATGTAGTCAATAATTGTGTGTCCTTTAACCCGCTCCCCGGATCTGAGAGTACAGCGTATAGCAATGGCACATCATTGTCAGATTAGGTGAATTCCCTGATGTCTTACTAAGTGACTGTATGAATGGTTCTGCTTGCAAAATGGAAAAAGAGAATCCTACAGCTGTTTTTGGCACAACCCTGGAATATGTTAGTCTAAATTATTTTGGAGGACTACGGTATGTCTCCAGCAGGCTGAAATATACGTTTGACAGTCTGGTCTGAATGCTAGGGTTGGTGGAGCCCAAAGATTGGCGAGGACTAACTAACTTTTACCTTTCTTTATATTATGAAGAAACATTTAAATTGTGGGCTAGGCTTGTGGGCACTTTTTCAGGTTCCTGAGGAACAGCTGGGATAAATAGCACCCTTGTACCAGCAAACAGACTGATTTACAGAAGTCAGTGAGGAAATGACTCGAACATATTCCTGGAAAATGCGTGAAATAAAATCCACAAACTGGGAGAGTAAGCTAGTTTGAGTACTAGATCATTGCTAAACTGGGTTCTCCATTAGGATGACTGCATCCCTCTTGCAACTGTTAGCCGAAGCTGCGCACCAAGCTACAGTTTCATTTCTCTTTTGCCGTGCTGCTTGCTTACTGGAGAAACATTGAAAAAGAAATGGCACAGTGGCCGTTTCTGCTGGGAATGGATGCTTTTGTATTGTATCTAGATTCTGGCTTGAACCAGTGAGGGGAGACTCCGTTGTTATTTCTATACAGGGCTGTGTTCTGAAAAGGAATGTGGTTTCATAGTCACTCAGTGAAATAAATTAGCTGATTTCTCTGAAGTATGAAGTGGTGACAGCTCCCAGTCTTAAAATCATTGGGAGCCTTGAAACTTGTAAGTCATTACCTCACACTTTAGCTTGAGTATCTCAAAGGCAGTGATACCTCCCTAATTGCACTGGGAACTGTGCAGGAGAAGAAAGACTGAAGTACTGGGCTGTAGTTTCCTATGCTCTGAGAGACAGAAGGTGTCAGCAGTGTGGGCATTACTCAGTTTTCCTTTTCCTGTCTCCTGGTTGCGTGCTAAAACATGCTTCTGCAACAAGCAGCTGTAGGGTACAATATATCCTTTGGTGATCCCTGGCGAGTTCCTGAAGGCCTCTGAAATCAGCCTAGGGGATGGCCAGCTGCACAGTTTCTGAGAAATGAACTGTGAGGCTAACATGGGGAACAGTCTTGGCCAGCATCTTGGAGGAAAGCAAGATTTACTTTAATAAAGGATCAGATCACTTTTGTGTGGCATTGTTATGTCAGATGGTGACTGTTTCCTAGCTGTTTTTGTATTGGCACGAAGCAATTTGACCAGTACTGGAAGAAGTTTTGAGGCAGGTTCTGGCTCCCGCGTTGTATACATTGTTATATACATTAAATATCAAGCAAACTAAACATGAGTTATTTTATATTCAGCAGCTCCACTTGTATATTTTTTTTGTACAGCTCTGAGATATCGTGATGATAGTTGCTGTACAGTGGGGATTGTTTGATGGTAGGATTTCTTTGTCATGTTTTGCTGTAAGTCCACTTTGATGATGGTGTCACTGATGGGGGCGTGCATGCTTGTCTGATGTTAGGAGAGTGAGTCTTGTGTGTGAAAAGCAAAGGGGAGGCACAGAGCTAGCAGCTGGGAATAGGTTAAAACTAAAACAGGCCTAAAATATATTCCGAAGAAAAGGGTTCTTGATGCAAGAGAAAAATAGTTAATTCACATGTGTCTTGGAGGGTGAGGTATGTGATGGGATGACACCAGGAGCATACAGTGGATTTGCCACGTGTCAGGAAATGCACGTGACTGTCTCTCTGTGGCCTTCCTCTGCCCGAGTGCAGTTTGCCTCCGCGTCCACAGGTTTGTCACAAGCTGCAGCCTGCACTTAGAGGTGCTGCAGGGGAGGGCGAATGTCAGCCAGCTGCCAGTTGCTGCTTCAGGCTCCCTATGCGTCACTCTGCAAACATTAGCTTGCTCTGCCATATTGTGGAGGAAGGCAATTGGCTGTGATCTGCGGGTGATGTGGCTCCCACAATAAAGTCGGTGGTGACTGAGCGTGTGTGAGGGGTGTGGACGTTCTTTTGCAAGACTCTTATTCTCCTGCCATAATGGGTGCCCTGCACTTCTTTCTGAAGTTTACTGAGATGTTACTACACGCTGTAGTTCTGGAATTGATTTTCATATACACCTGCTGAGAAGGTGTAGCACAATAAATCTTCAGAGAACCTGTATTTTTGAGGTTACTGGGTGGTTTTTTTTTTTTTTTTTTTTTTTTTTTTTTTTTTTTTTTTTTTTTTTTTTGAAATGAATATGTACTTTGCAGTTGCCATTGAGTACAGCTTCCCTGTTGCAAGACTCACAGTAAAGGCAATATCTTACTTTCGAGCGTCATTTCTGTATATATCTGCACAGAACTAATCTCTGCATGACATCCACCCTGGAATGAACTTAGATGTCTTGTGTCTTTTTCTGTCTCTAACTTGCATTTATTAACTCTGTGCACTAGGGCTAGACATGAAGCCTAATGAGAGATGCTGCTCACTTGATGGAGATGCAGATAGAATTGTTTATTACTATAAGGACACAGCTGACCACTTTCATCTAATCGATGGAGATAAAATAGCAACTTTAATTTGTATCTTCCTTAAAGAACTTCTTGTCAAGGTAACTAACATACGAAATGAATGCTGACATTTTAATTTGGAAAAACGTAACATACTCTAAAAAGCTCTGTGTGTTTGTACGTACGTGACTTTTCTACATCTGACTAAAGTGAACCTAAAGTTTAAAAAGAGATCACTTCTATACTTCATTGGTATGTCAAAAATGTTGCTTTTACAAGGGAGTGACTTCCATGGTCTAAATAAAAATCTGAGGGCTGAAATCTTAACCTTGAAGCTTTCCTTAGTGAGATAGAACTTTTCTAGTTTCCATGTACAATGAAGTGTTATGCAATTTCCTGTATTTTGGTACCTCTCATTAAATTTTTTGGGTTTACTTCTTAACTTAGCATTCTGTGAAGCTTTATGAACATGGAACAGTTCGTTTGCCTGAGAACTTGTTTGTGATGGTCCCAGGGTATATATGTTGTTATGGCATCTTCCTTAAAAGCTTTTTTGTTTTTTCTTCCCAGAAGCCTTCCCAGATTTTGTTGATGTCTATAAGACTAAACCTCAATAAGTTATACTGGTTCTGGTTTCTGCGATATTGGTTCATTTCTTATGCTGTGACAGAGATGCTGGAGGACTTGTGCTTACCACCAGCCTTTACTTGCTTTGCTCTGAAAGCTTTGAATTTGTTGCTCGTCAGTATGGCCCTATGTAACTCCATGTATCTGGTCAATGCGCTGAGCTTCCTAAATCTGAAAAATGGTGAGGAAAGCCTAAGAAGGCGACTGGATGGAGAGCTGCTTCAAGCCAGTCACTAAAAATGTGATGCACAAACACGCAAATGGCATTGGTTGTCTTAAATATATAAAAGTTCTCTGGTCTATATGAGCTCTAGTACCTTTCTCTGATGCCCAGGGGTTTGTGCCTGTAGGAGAACACAGTTTAGTCCTACACACTGCTGAATAATTCTGATTATCTTTCCATTTCTCCTACTCCTCTGAGTACGTGTGTATCAGGCAGTAAAGCACTTTGCTTCTTGGTTTGCTCAGGTGGAACAGGCTTTAAAGATGGCAGTGGTACAGACGGCATACGCCAACGGGAGTTCAACACGCTACCTTGAGGAAACAATGAAGGTATTTCCCAGTCCCTTTATGGCACTTTTCTGAAAGTGGTTACTGTAAATAGTGTTTCCTTTTTTAATAAATGCTATTATAATGTGATCAGTAGGAAAACTTATATTGGACACAAATAAATGACTTTTTCCAACTTGTACTAGTTATGAAATTCTTGGTGGTAAAGGAGACCCATGAGAGCAAAGATCAAAAAGTTCTAGCCAGCTTTTACTGGTTTAAAAAAAAAAAAAAGTAGGCAAAAGTTAAGCAAAATCCTCTCTTACCTGTGGAGTTGCAGAAGTTTTTGGCTTTGCAAAGAACTGAGTCAGTAAAGGCTCCCTGATACAGTGAGACTGTTTATTTTTACAGCAGCTGAATGTCTGGTACTGAAATGCGGTTTGCTATTTATTGGCAAAAACTGAGCTGAGGTATTTCAGTTTGGCTAGAAATCTGTTATGTTCCCTGAAACCATTAAATAAGTAGGAGTTTTCATAGTGTTTGTGTGTGCGCGTGCCTGTGGTTTTTTATATTATTATTTTGTTTTTTAAATCAGCCTTTATTTCCATTGGAAGAAATTAAAAACTTCCTTTAAATCCAAGCTGCAGAAGTAGTAGATAATCTGAGCTCTGGGGAATCAGTAGTTGTGAAACACAGGTTGGTTAGTAACGCTCCACCTGGGCTGACTGCTACATTGCTGGCTTTACTGTGCTTTTTAGCAGACACCTCACCTACAGTTCCAGCTACTTGTGACTGACTGTGTATGTTGTCTGTATATCTTTGGGTTGTAGGTGCCTGTTCATTGTGTCAAAACAGGAGTGAAACACCTGCATCACAAGGCTCAGGAGTTTGATGTTGGTGTGTATTTTGAGGCAAATGGACATGGCACAGTAAGTACGTACATGTAACATGTAAGAATTGCAGTCAATCTGTTTAAAAAAAAAAAAAAAGTAGTTCAAGTAGCCTGAGAGGTTTTTTTTTTTTTAACTCTGCTCGCATATATAAGCGACGCTTTTCTCTCCTTCTTTGAGAATAGGCTTGTTTCCCCTTTCGACATGGCACAGTAAGTACGTACATGTAACATGTAAGAATTGCAGTCAATCTGTAAAAAAAAAAAAAAAAAAAAAGTTCAAGTAGCCTGAGAGGGTTTTTTTTTTAATCTGCTCGCATATATAAGCGACACTTTTCTCTCCTTCTTTGAGAATAGGCTTGTTTCCCCTTTCCTCCTTTTTTCCTTGCAGTGCCACCAACTGCTCTGTATTTTATGTGAGGATGGGAGTTCATGGAAGCAAACCTTAATGATGATTCTTTTGGCTTAAATGGGAAAAGTTCCCCCCGCCTCCAACTCACTGTTGTGCATGTCCCAGTTCTTTATGTGTGTTGACAATGACAAGCTCTGACCTTTTTGCTCTAGGTATTATTTAGTAAAGCTGCTGAAATTAAAATAAGACATCTGGCAAAAGAAGAAAAGGATGATGAAAGAAGAGAAGCAGCAAAGATGCTTGAAAACATGATGGACCTGATTAATCAGGTAAAAGCTGAGAGAAACAAGTCAGTATGTTGGCTGGCATGGGCTAATCCTGTTTACTAGTACTTGTGAGGCTACTGCCAGGGACCACTGGTGTAAGAGGCAGCGTGCTGTAATGAAAGGGGGACAAGAACAAGGGCACAGCAGTAACAGTCTTATTGAGAAAGATTATCCTACTTTCTACATTAATGAATGTAGAATACCTTTATCTGTTACAGCCTTTTGTGCTCAGAATGAAAAAGGAATTGGATGGCCTCAATACCTAGTGATAATGGATGGCTTACTCAGTTCAATACCCAGTAATCGTTCAACTAAGGCTTTTCACTAACCTTTGTGATATGGGAGGAAGGGAGGTGTTCCAGTGCTCATGTCCACACAGCCGTGGGAGTCCCTGTCTTAGCACAGACATCATTCCTTGGTGGTGGTGCCAAATCAAATGTCACAGGTTAGCTTCAAGCAACCTGACCTCCGTTAGTCCTCATTAGGAAGGGAGATGACTAGCGCTTGTCCCAGCAGAAACGTACAATTATGCTGTTGTAGTAACAAAAGTTATGTGCCTCTTCTGTAGCGTTCCTCCTGCTCTATTGTAATAGCAATGAAACCCACCCGGACTGCAGCAAGTCAGCCTAGCTTCTTTTTCACCCTCTTCACATGGACGCTTACTGATCATATCATGCCTGCATTTCTTCACTGTGGACGTCTCTGTTTTTTTCCTCTCCCTCTCCTCATTAATAGACAGTTGGTGATGCTATCTCAGACATGCTGGTTATTGAAGCAATCCTGGCTTTAAAAGGTCTTACCGTGCAACAGTGGGATGCCATCTACACTGATCTTCCAAATCGGCTACTCAAAGTTCAGGTTAGCTACGCGTGGTGCTGGCTCGGTTACAGCAGTGTTGTGCAGCCCTACTCCAGAAGGGCTCTCCCTCCCTCCCTGCTGGTCTTCCTTTCTTCAAAAAAATCCCTTCATTTTAAGGCTTAAAAGGCCAATTGGAATAGGCCACACAAAGCACAAAACAATGAGAAAAGATCAGAATTGCACTTGGAGTAAAATAAAATATGACTTACACATATGGTGAAATAACAGCCAATTCTTTAAATGAAGAAACCCTAACAAAAACTGAGATCGGAAAGTGTCTTATTTATTTTGAAATAACAATGAATGCAAATTAACATCAGTAGTTATACAGTAGTGCTGTTGTTCCATAGACCATCTGCTCCTGCACATGCTCTCTTTGGTGAAGAGAGGGTCTGTTAACAGTGCATCTGAAATTCTTTCTTAATTATGCTTTTCACACAAAGGAACAAGCAGATTGAATGATTAGGACGTTTAAGACCACAGAAGGGACACAGAACTCTGTATCCCAGTAGGTGACTTTCTGTGTGGAAGATGAGAATTGAACGGTTTTTCCTGATAGTCTCAAAACTCAGAAGGCTGGGAACCCTAAATGCTAGGGATAGGATTGCAGCATTGCTGCATCTTTTCTTTCAGACCTCCAAAGGGGATGTGTTTCTTGAAGGTACATCCCTATGGAGGGGAGAAGGGAAAAAAAAAACCCACAGTATTTTACTTACCTTTCACTTTTGCCTGTGGTTATAAAGGATCAGAGTATTAGTGTGAGTGACACAAGTTCAAGTCTCTTTGTTGCTCTAGCTAAAAATCTGAACTCTGTTCTCCATTTTTTCAGAGGCCCCTACCTCCTGAGCTGGATGGATTTTTCTTGGTGTGTTACTTTTTACAAATTAAATATAAATTAAATACTCAAGCTCTCATATCTTTTTCTTACGTTTGCCAGCATTCAAAGACCTGCAAGTCTAAGGAGAGAGACAGACTGTCATGTGGTAGCATTCTTAAATTTAAGGACACAGTAAGGGAGCTCTGGGCTCTAAATTAGCCAGATAAGAGTTTAAGCAGTCCCATCTACTGGAATAAGCTGCAGCTTCCGTTTGGAGGCTAAGAAGGCATGGTCAGGGACTACCTAACGGTTCAGCCCCTGACCCTAGAAGTGACCCCGTTTCCAAATTAAGCAGCTGAACCTATCAAGACTTGCTTAATACATGATGAACAGTAGTTTAGCAGGAGTCTTAAGGATCCCAGAATCTTTAAGTAGGCACCTCGCAAAGTGAAGTCTTGCTCAAGATAACGCAAGGCATCAAAAACTGAAGGAGTTCAGTCTGTTTTATCAGTGGTTGTTGTTTTCCTGCTCTCATCATACAGCTTACAGCACACCAGTAAGTTAAGTCTGTTTTCTGATGTTGTAGGTTGCAGACAGGCAAGTTATTGGCACAACAGATGCAGAAAGGCGTGTGGTTGCACCCCCAGGACTACAAGAGAAAATTGATGCACTTGTACAGAAGTACAAATCATCACGAGCATTTGTCCGTCCATCAGGAACAGAAGATATAGTTAGGATATATGCTGAAGCAGACAAACAGGTCAGAGCTGAAACAGCTGGTCTGTAGACTGCAGAACTTAAACAGATCCCATTTTCTGATTAGCGCTGATTGGGGGAGGGAGAAGTATGTTTACATATTGTTCATTGAATCAAACGTAACTGTTCCTAAATTTGGAAAAAAAAATGAACTTAGTGATCACAAAAAAATCTCTTAGGATTTTATGTTTACAGAAGTAATTTAGTGTTTTTAATGCTTACCTGTAAAGGTGAGATATTTATAAAGGCAGATCTGACAGTAAAGGATTTTAAAAAGACCATCAGCCGTCTGAGTACTCCAGGTTAAAAAGAAAGTTACTGAGGCAGTCAGTAACTGCATGATTTCTTAAGAGGCAGAATCAAAAATAAACTGTGGATGGAGTTAAGAATTAGTCCACATGTGAGCTTGAAAGTTGTCACCCAAATCAGTGGTCCTGTTCTTCTCGTGTCACATTTCCCTATCCACTTTGTCCTGCCAGCAAGACCACAGTGGCAGAAGATAACTAAGATGACAGAGCAAGATGGGGAACTCAGCATTGGCAAGAAAATTCTTGCCTGAATACTGCATATTTAATCTAAGCTTCTAGTACTGAATATACTTGCAACGTAATATAACAAACTTCTTTAATATTCCATAGGAGAATGCTGATGCCCTTGCCCATGAAGTAAGCCTGGCTGTTTACCATCTCGCTGGTGGAGTAGGAGCACCACCCCAGCCTGTATAACAAAGGATACAACTGCAGTTAAAGTTCATAACTTGACTTATTCAAAATTACTTTATCATTTGTTAGTGCAGACATATCAAGCCATTCTTGATTGTAAAAGGGATTAATCAGAACTGAGCACAGTATTTTTCCATCTGTTATTTCTTACCTGGTTGGTAACTTACCTCTTAATAGGGTCCTCTTGCTGCTTGGTGTTTCTCCCCACTCATTTGTTTTGCTTCTGAAGTGGAACTGAGCTAGATGTGTGCGAGCATGCCTTGAATGTTGCGTCTTGACTTGCAGTGCCCTAGTCATATCCAGAAGGGAGGCTACAACTCCAGTCTGCTAAGCATGAAGACTCATCTTCTCTACTAGCAATAACCTGGTTACTAGCCCTTCCCCAGATAATATACAAGGGAGATTAGCCACGCAGATTCGGTTTGGGCTAGTGCAGAAGCTCCATTGAAGCTTAAAGCCTTGCTGCTACCAAGCAGGAGAGCCAAAAAGAACCTGTGACTGAGAGCAATCCACCTCCTTCAGTTTGATAGGTTAATGACACATTGTGCCTAAATCAAGCTCCTATGCCCTTAGTGCACTTGCAGCAGCTGTGCTTGACTAGCTGTCCTGGGCTGCGCTCACAGTAGCTTTAGCACAGCTTTACTACTGCAGAAACATCACCTCCAGTATTGCCACAGCAACTGCATCCTTCATGGGCAAACATCCTCCTTGCTCAGTGGAAGTATAGGTCTGAGATTAAGCTCACCTCAGTTGAGAGGGGACAATATAGTTAAAAACAGCATTTGAAAGCAAACAACATATTACGGCAATAGCTTCATTAGAAATACTGCTTTTATAAAACTAATGTATATGTGAAATTAAAGCAATTTGTAATAATAGTATTATCATGGTTTTTAAGACAGAGGGGGACACAGCAAGTTTGTGACCCTCCCCCCCCAGTAGTTTAAAGGAGCTGGGCTACTGGGATGTAATATTTTAATTACATACATATTGCAAATGCACACATTTCGGTTGAGGGTATCTACCTCTGGCAAATGTAATTTTTCATTTTAGTCCTGTATTGACTCCTGATATTATGGCATTTTCCAGATTGCCAAATAAGTATAAGTTCTAGTAAGTAAAAAAAAAAAACAAAAAAACAAAAAAACCCAAAAATAAACTGGAACAAATTGAAAAAATGTGCACCTTGTATTTTTTAGGTTTTTTTTTTTTTTAAAGACAGACCTCAAGACAACGAAACAAGTGTACTGTAAATAGTAGGCACCATAATCAATATGAGCCACCAATATTTAAACTTGATTCAGGCCACATCCAGAACTCTTCTCTTATTTACAAATAATTAAATACAACATTAAGTATTTCATTACATACAAAGTAAGAAAAGAATACTATACAACTGGGAAAGATACAATATTTCATTTAAATAGTTACATTACATGTAAGATGAATAGTACCAGTTTAGCTCATGTTTTTATGACACCTTCAAGAAAATCCTTCTCAACCATCTCTTCAATTTTTTGCCTTGCTTTGCTGGAGAACGTCTTGAGATTCTCCATTTTTATGTCCTTATTGGGAAAAGAGTTGGGGTAAAGGACAGGGCTCCCTGAGTGTCCAACACATCTGCTTGTGACTTTGCTGTTAAAAACTTGGCTGAGTACACTGAAGAAAGGCAAAAGCTGCTCAATGCTGCGAACAGTGTAGATGGTCAGAAGCAAGTGACCTGGTTCCCAGCTTAACGTTTTCCCTGAGCTCTCCTCCTCTGGGTTTTTCTGTAAATAGAGAAATATGAAACAATACCGGACAGAACAGAGAAAGTGCAGGTACAAAACAGACTTTAATGCCCGACAGGTATTTTTACATATTCCATAAAATATTTGCCCTATCAACAAAATAGGCAGCTACTGGAGCACAGCTTTTGAAGCAGTCTGCCTCTGCCCCCTACCGTGCTTTCATACAGGCTGGTGTCTGGTTGGCTGGGCTAAAGTGAAAGCTGTGCCCAGCTGCCACTAGATGCTGGAGTCTACCACCTAGGCCCAGAGCTGGCCCAAAGCCAGCTAGCCCTGGCAGCACGCCTCAGGCACTGGCAGCTGCTGTGTAGCTGCTCTATGCAGCTGCTCCTGCTGCAACATCCCACTGGCTAGCATAAACACAGCCAAAGCTGATGTTATACCTAGCACCGTAGCTGCTTGGAAAAGGCACGTCCTGGCTAAGTTGCTCTCCAAAAGAGGCCAATTTCTGATAGCAATACTTGCATCTCACCCTACTACCAGCATTAGTGACGATAAATAAAATCTGGAGGAAGTTAAAATAGAAACTAAATATCTTCACTTTGAAACTAGAGCGCCGAGTTTTCAGAAGGACAAAGGCATCGGTATTTTAAATACCAGAAATAACCCCCATGAAGGCTCTGAGCAGACATTAGTTTTCACAAAGGAGAATGGTTTGATTACTCATCGTGGATTCCCCAAAGGCCTCACTTACGCACCTTCCACCTATGGGAGGGAATTTCAAAGGAGAGATTTCTGGAACCCCACCAGTGAAGGCAGCAGTCACACACCAGGGAGCGTGTCAGTACACTCGTATAACCGTATTTAGGGTTACTGAAAATATCTGTGCCCTAAAATATCTGAGCACTAACATCCTGCTGCTCATATGGCAACGTACTCATTGTCTTTTTTTTTTTTTTTGGACTCAAAAATCATATTCAAATCTAGAAAATAAGATAATATCAACACTAAAAACTCCTTGTTTGGACTATGATTGATAGGCCAGTATAGGAGAGTTAATGCCATGAAGCAGGGATCCAGCAATACTGGTTTTTACTCCAGGAGGAAGGAGAAAAGGGAAACACAAAGGCTGCATGAGTGAGAGCCACCTCCTGATCTGCCCCTGAGCAGCACCTCCTCCCGCTCCTCCTGCAATGCATCTACAGAGGCAGGGGCCAGGGGGCGCTCCCGAGAATCCGCATGGCTGCGGTCACAGGCTGCATCTCAGGGGATGGGAAAGCGGAAGAGCAGGTGGTGTAAGGAGAAGACAATGAAGGGGGGGGGAAAAAAACCCTCACCAATAGGAGAGTGTAAAGTAAAGATTTTTGATTGTGCAGCCTTTGAGCAAACATTTATTCGGGGAATTGTTTTTTTTTTTAAATGATTTTTGCCCTTTAAGTGAAAGGAACTGTCTTTTCCAATTCAGGAGCTTTCATGATATCTATCTCATAAAAAGTGATTAGATTAGTATTAAATATGAAGGTATTTAGTATTTTATTTTTGTTCTATTCGGCTCCCTGTCATGGGAGATAATTATTCTAGCTGTACTATTTATTCTCTACAAAGTTTCAAGAAACAAAAGGCTACATAATACCTGAAACAAAACAAACACTGCATCCCATGACAGAAAGAGTTGTTGTTGTTGTTGTTGAAGTGTTTACTTTTAAAAATTTCTCCTTTAAAAATTTCACATTGGATTCACTTTGCACTGGATTCACAGAAGAGAATCTGGAGTACTGATTTGCATTCCACTACTTTGTATAACCCAGTGATGAACACAGAATAGCTCCAGCACACGCCAAGTGTTAGTGTTACTGAGCAACCAACCAAATGTGGTGCATATGCCAATACCAATTCTCTCACTCTAAGTGAGCAATGAAATACAATCCATCCAAGCCATTTCCTCACAGCAGTAGCTTAGAAAACACCACTAGTATTTCGAATACTTAAAAAGGTAATTTGAAAGAGACCAGATTCGGGATTACGTGTGGCAGAAATTGTTTTAATTCTATAATGATTTGTGGTGATAATGCCTTTTAGACCTTTTTTTTTTTTTGGTAATCTGTTTAATGTAGGAAACCAAATTAAAAATAAGGGCACCTGTGATTATTTCAGTTCACAATCTCTCAACTTCGTCCTCTAAGACAGCTCATCTCTTTCACTTCTCACTGAAAGTGAGATACTACCCAGGGCTGCGAGGTGATGGTATTAGGGTAAGTTTGTTTCACAACTCAAGCATCAAAGGCCACCCTCACCTGATGCTTGGCCATCTCCAATCCCTCCAAAACCATCGTCTTAAAGTCCTCCTGTTTGTCCTGTGGAAGGAAAGAGGAGAACTTTCAGACTGCATTTCATATATCAAAATAATACTTTGCCATGAAGGCCGTGCAGTTGGTTGGTTGGATGCTATTTTTCAGCAAAAAGATCATCCATCCCAAATAATCCATTACCCAGAATCACACTCTGGAGCTAGTGGAGCCAAGACACTATCAGACAATAACAACATTGACAGTTTGTTCTTCTCTTATTGCAGTAGTGCCAAAGGAGGTTTAAAGCACTTTTCTTTCAGATAACAGAGCCTGACAAACACCATACTGTGCGAGTCTGAGTATTTGTCAGAGTGCCCTGAAGTAAAATTAAGATCAACTGAAACATTTTGCTCAGAAGCAGTATTTTCTAAGAGAAATACACAGCCATACACAACAGTATTCTCCTCTGCACAAAGAAAAAATGGCCTGGAAACCAGTATTATCTCATTTTTCTCTCATCCTTACAACCCTCAGTTTTGGTTCAAAATGTGCAACTGCTGCCTTGACAATAGGGTTTCAGAAATTTCTGCAAGTTTTGTATATTCTAGAAGCATACTGTGGAAGCCCTCCCTTCATGCCTCTATCTCAGCATACAGTACTTAGCAGCATGTATATTTTATAATTCACGCGGAGAGATTCTTTGGAATGTGACAACTTTCTAATGAGTATAGCACACAACATAATCAGGTGTAGCCTCTAACCCCGATGTGTTTAACAGCCTATTAAAACCTATTACCCCTTTTACATGTTATTAGGAGAACAACATTTTAGTCTTATTCTCACAGTTCAAAACCAGTAACATGAAGAACGTGAATATATGATATAATACCAATTATATATTATATGCATCAAATAACTTGTTTTATTCCCTATAGTTGTGAGCCTTTGCTGATTAGTTCAGGTCGACCTGCAGCTAAGTTATTGCTAAACTTTATGTAGCCACTTTCATGCCAGCAATACTTTTTTTTTTTAATCCAATTAAAGCATTTAATAAAGATCTTACATATGGTAGCTACAATAGGCTAGCAGATGCCATTGCCAGGGCTGTAACACTGTTTGGAGGAATCCCCAAGAATAAAACGTCAGAGCTTTCTCCCACACAACTGAGTTTTCTTTTCTCCCTCTTTCCTTGGCCCACCCAGGCAGCCTTTACCAGTGAAGTGCCTGCCTGGGAAGTTCTGTCCTTACAGAAGGAGCAAAGTACCCCGCGGCATTTTTCTTATTTTGTGGCAGCATAAAGGTGCTCCCTGGGACAGGGTTTGGTCAGCTTTCATCAGCTTCATTAGCCGATCGGGCCTCCACCCCTAACCAAACAAGATTTTTGATAATACCTCACATACCAACATAACACCACCTAATTCTGCTCCTAATTTACAAATTATACAGCCCATTTTCCCCCCAGAATTGTTTCCACGGCTCCTTGCTTTCTTCCTTTCATTTCAGTTGCTTCAGCCCTCCCTGGCTCTGCAGTTTCAAAACTCTTGCTGTTCTCAGTTACGGAAATACAACACCATTTTCTAAATAATTAAATGGGATTACTAGGAATAAAAATGTTTTTCTACCTCAAAAGATAGTTATTCTACTACCTATCTATCTATGTGATTTGAAATTTGGACTATCTGAAAATGATTTTTTGCATTAACTTGCATTAGGCTTTGAGGCATATTCTATTTCTTACTCAAAAAAGTATTTTTAATTGGATACTCCAAAGCCAATGACCACAGTCTTTTTTTCTTCAAACCTTCATATGCTTTTTGCCTAATGCTGATCGGAGGCTACTCCAGTGGGAAAACTCCTATGCTAGATAACCTCCTTGCCATTTTCCATCAAAACAAATACTAACAAAAAACGGTACTGGAAGTTACTGAACGTGAAAGTTTTCAGTGAAAAGCAAAACTGGAAGAAAGTGACATACCTTTGCTCTTTTTCGCAGCAGTTTTGCTAGACGTACCACATACGGTTTAAATTCCCTTTGATGAGTGCCCTGTCTTCGTACCTCCAAGCCTGAATCATCTGATGCTTCTGGAATAAAAGCCCAACGATACCTGCCAAAAGATAACACAAGCAGACATTATCCTTACTGAGCACACAGGCTTTTCTGCCAGATCTAAGAGTATGATAGGGTGAGGAAGTCAAGCTAAATCTTAAAGAAAGAAGGAAAAAAAAAAAAAAGAAAGAAAAAACTTCGTCAAATAGGAAAGTCATTTTCTGAAAAGGAAGAGATAACATGATTGAGAAAAGGAGCATTTCCTTTCTCCTTTAGAATTTCTTAAAATATTTAAGGATGACAAAAGCAAGAAAGGGCAAAGAAGCTAAGAATAGTAGCACTCCCTCTCTATTATGTACAAGGGAACTGAGTTCTGAACTCTAAAATACGTAATGTTTTTATATACATATTAAAATATGTAAGTTACCTAAAGTGTAAGCGCAGCGCTTACTATAACACATTAAATGTTCTCAATATACCCTGCTGATAACAGAAACTCATTGATTTTATCTATTCATACGCCAGCTGGCTCAGACGGACCATTTCCTCCCCTTCCCCTCACTACGCTGTAAAGACTGGTTAGTTGCATCATACACTATAAAGGGAACCAAAGTTTCTTTCCTTAATGATTCAGTCCAAGCCTCAATGAGAACACTGTAAAAGAGTGCGATTCAGCATTACTACTGTCTTTCCAGAAATACACAGCAATGACTAGGGGGAAATATCTCAATAAAGCCAGTTTGGCTAATAATGGGGAGCAGGACAGCATGGAGAGTTTAGTGAGAATTATGAACAAACTTTCCAGAAGATAAAATAAATCAAGGAATAGTCAAAATTAGTTTGAGATTTAGAAGTACTACAGGGCATGAACTGACACAGCGTGTGCAACCCATTGCACCCTCAAGCCCACATGAGACTCTTCCGAGTAACAGCGTAACTGGAGCTGGCCAAATGTCTACAGACCTGTGCCAGGGCAGCGGCCCTTAGTCGGTCACTGCTGTGCAACGCAAGGGAAGCATGAGAGATGTTGTTCTGTCCTGTGCTACCTCTTGTTTCTGGGCTCTTGAGTAAATGCCAGTTGCTTTGCATCCATTTTTGCAACAGAACAGGACTGCTGAGGGGAAGTAGTTTGCACATGCAAACAACTACTGACCAAGTATAACCTATGCCCCCTTTGAGAGTTTGTTGACACGTCTTCCAGTCAAATGATGCAGGAGTAATTTAAGTGAAATCATACTGAGCTCATACAGTCTTCTGATCTGATGCCTTGGTCATCGAGACATGTGGGTGTATTTTGGATTCTTGGACATGACTGCAACTAAAAATTTTAAAAACAAAGTACTTTAAGTCGCCACTATTCCTGATTAGCTCATAAGTGTAGAGAACCTCCAGTCACAAGCTGAACAAAACCAGCTTACGCTCATCTGCTGCATAGCACCATTTGCTCTGGGGGCCACACTGACACTGGGAGGGAATGCCTTGTCGGCTGCTCTGGGATGAAGGCCAGAGAGAGAAAGGAAATTGGAAAATAAAGATTTTAAACACTGGAGTTCTACCAAAAAAACATGGCAAAAACCCATTCACAAATCTAAATTATAGCCTCTTTTACTTACATCTGAAATTGAGGAAGGTTTTCAGATGGTAAAGCTAGTGCCAAATCCAGAAATTTGCAAGCAGACAGGTACAGGTTCAACCATCTCTGGCTATTATAGGATGTGGAGAAACCATTGCCCCCTGTGTACGTTGTCTCCAGACCAGCAACAGATGGGCCAGAAGTTCTAAAATAAAGTATAGTGGGCAGGTAAGTCATAATGGCCTTCTGCCATTACGGGAAGATCCTCTTTCTGCATTTGCCTTTATAAACATACAACTGTTTATTTACCAGCTTAATCCTAATTCCATAAATCAAAACAGAACATTGCAATTCTTCATTATGCTTGGAGTTCATACTTAAATGTATTATGCTCTATCTGATTCCCATCAGTCATCCCAATTAAGAGGAAGCCCAAACTTGCAAGCTACGTGTATTTTATTGTATTTTAGGAAAAGAGTCTTCAAAAGAACAAAGAGAAGCTAAGTAAAAACGAAGAACAGGACTTGGGCACATAACTTTTCTGTTCTTTTGAGAAATCTGCCTCTTCTGCTAGAGTTGACTGAAATGGGATCATACTGCATAGAGATTGGATAGGATGAAAACAGATAACGAAACTGGAAAATACCTTAACTCATCCTTTATAACACTGGAATAAATCACATTTTTATTAGACTCTTTTTTTTTTGGTAAATACTGTCAACCTTATTCCAAAGATATATACGATACAGAAAAGCTATGCACATTTTAATTGCAAAAGTAGTAACATTTTAGTCAACAAGATACTGTAGGAACTAACATACTTCTACTGCATGATTTACTTTAGCTGTTTTTGAGCTAGTTGATAGCTTTTATTGTTGTTTATAGTTTTATTGTTGTTTTATTGTTTATAGTTTTTACTGTTGTTCTTGTTGTTTTGCTTTTCACGAAAAATAATCTGAACAGTATGTCCTTGGTACCACAGTCAGATTGGAATGCTCTTTACTTGTTCTTTTATTTTGAACTTGAAAATTTTTGAAGTCAAATTATTTTAAAAATAATTTTGCTGTCCATCAGCATTTCAGAAGATTGCAGAACACTATCAAGTTAAACAGGTGGGAAATTCAGCTTAAGTTTACCTGGAAATGTCTTCGTCAGCAGTCAGCTCCTGTTCCATCAATAAAAACACTTGTACCTGAAAAATCAAATGCTGTATTTTAATATCATTTTTTATGGCCTGTGACACAAGAAAATTCCATCGGGAGGTCTGAGGAGTAAGCCTTAGAAGAACTGCTGTTTGGAGCTTCTTCCATTCATGGATGAGGAAATAACCCACGGAACTATGAATGAACACTGACAACCTAGAACTCCTTCATCTCTCACACACAGTAGCACAAGGACCACATAAACTGGTTATCTGATGGCCAGAAAAGCTCTCACAGGCCAATTCTCTCCACTACCCAGAGAAACAGAGCCTAAAGGAGAGCACCACCTAAAGAAAATGAGATAAAGAATAATATAAAGGAACAGTCAAGCTCAAGTATGAGTCTCCACAGATGACAGTCTTCTCCACTGAAAATAGCTCCTAGACTGCTGTAACTTGCACCAGTGCCAGGGGACAGCAGAGGAATCAGGGTGCCATACTGCTCCCAGCTCTGAGCAGATCTTACAGAGCAGAACTCCTAATTCCTAGAATTCCTGATATTCATGCCATTGGCAGGCTCAAATTTAAATACATCTGTTGCCAAAACAACCCACTCAGTTTTTAAAATACTTTATGTAGCGTTATTCCTTCTGTTCCTTAGATCAGTCGTTAACCAAGGGCCTGGTTAGCCTCCAGAAGATAACAAAACAAACAAAAAACCATCACAGAAGTGATTCTAATTTGCATTCTAAGTTAGCTAGTCCCTTAGAAACCACCTGGCTAACAGCATAAACAGACCACAAGATGTACCAGCCATCCCCCTCCATACTCATTCCCAAAGCACTACCAAAACTGAAATCCAGACAGCTGCAAGCAGCAAACGCCAGAGACTCCACGGGCAGCAGTTCTGGAAACAGATGTTTATCCTGTCTTGCTATGACCGAGTGACCCAAGAAGAAAAAATAAAGTCAAGGATCAGGCCTTTTATACATCTGGCCACAAAACTTCAGTAACAGGGTAGTGTGAATCACCACCAGTTGCCAATGCAACATGGATTTTATCTCCTCCTTCAGGTTCTCATCCTCTTTGTTGGAGGAGGAGGGCTGAATAACCAGGAAAGTAGCAACAGGAAAAAGTGAGGGAGCATGACTAGTGGGAGAGGTACATGTACTTAGGCAGAAACTGAACTGGCAAGTAGGAGTAAATAGGGAACACTGTGGCAAAACGCAAACTTAATTCAGAAGATACCAGAATAAATTAAACAACATAAGTCAAACATTCCCCCTAGTTTGGGAAAAAAAAAATCAGGACTGAAAATCAGCTTAAATTGTGTCCTTTGTAATTTAAGCACATGCAATATATCTATTACAGATTTTGTATCAGTAACGGATTTTCTTAAAAGCATTCAGTAGTTGTGTCTCAAATTTGCAACAGCCTTCCAAGTCATGAATACTGAGGGTAACTCACCAGTTCAGTGATCATGGTAGGCCAGAGTGAGGTAAGGTGCTGCGGAGACATTCTTAAGAGCAATACTCTGAAAAACAGGAACACTTGGGAATGAAGAGTGGGCACCTGTGGCAAACGAAGGCTTTCTACTAGCCTTTCTGAAACAAAAAAGTGAACAAGGATTCCTCAGTTCAGAATAATTCCAACGAATATTTTCTTCTTCCCTTCATTTATCCTTCAAAAACAGTCAACATTTATATTATTAAAAGGCTGCATCATCACAGCATTTGAAAGGCTGCATCACACAGCATATCACACAGGGACAATATCCTCTTAGTTAATCACAGCCATCATTAAACATTCAACACAGAGGCAGATATATAAAGAAATTTTTCACTCAGTCAGCACATACACTTTGCAGTTCAGACCAGTAAAACCAACTGGTATTTTGAACACTAAACCCAGGTACTGACTGACTGGATAAGAACCTCAAAGAATAAATCCTACAACAAATTAAACGAGGAAGACAATGCAATTGACCTTCCATGCGGAGGAAGAGACCAAAGTATCCACCTTGCTGACAACAAAAGCCAACATACTTAGAAGAAGGTGCCCTAACCGTCTGTGTCATCTTAGAAAATAAAGAAAACACAAAACTTATCCCATTCCCAACCACTTAATTAAAAAAGTCAACTGGAAGAGAGGCTCTTCAATGATAATTAGGACAGATAAACAGAAAAGCAGGACAGAGATGTAGAAGTGAAGAATTTAAAAACCATTTCAAGGTCAGCCTTTGTATTTATCCCCATTTCAACCTCCAAGATACAAGCATCTATTATGTCAAGAAGCACCTGAAAGGGTACCCAAGAACATTAATCAAGGCACGAAATGACAAATCAGTGAAACAATCTAGCTAAAAGTCAACTGGAAATTGGGAAATCCAGGTGCTTTGTAACCATTTAAGATTCAAAATGTTCCCACAAAAATCAGGAGAAACTTGGCATGGAGTCATGAAAACTGAACCACACGCGAATATTCCAGAGGACAAATTTACCTGCTCTTATCCAGAAACCTCTCATAGATGGCAAATGACACTGACCAAGACACTAGAACTTTGTCCTAAAAATATTCCCCAGCCACAATCAGATTCAAAGAAAGAAATACATTAAATGATATATTTCTACCAACCTTGTATGTCTGGAAGGTATTTCTGGTACTGGTCTATTTCACTACTAAAAATTGCAAAGGCCAGTCTCTTCAGGAGCATAGCACGCTGTTCCAGCTCTACATCCCGATTAGCAAACAGATTGAGCGAACTGCTCTGAGCCACAGCCACTCGTGCTGAAAGAGAAAATGAGCAGCACTGAGATGAACTTCAAATTTCTCTTCTGTTTCATATTAAGGCACAAATAATTCTTTCTTTGGTTGCAATAACATAGTTCAAAAATACCCACTAAGAAAACGTCATTTCCATTTGTATTTTTAACCACATTGATTTAAAAAAGCATATAGTGAAAGAAAACTCTTAGATATACACCATCCCTCTGGCTTTTTGTTTTTTTTTTTAAATACAGTTTGGATGTACAGATGGTCAGAGGTTTTGGTTGTGCAGAATCAATTTTTCCTTAAGCAGAGTTAGTGTTCGAGATCTAAAAAAAATATCCCCTCTGGTTAATAAACTTTGTTGTATAGACAAAATTCACTTGTGGGCCAGGATGGTCTCAGATTCCCTCACTTCAAATGATTTTACTTACGAATCTCAAAAAAAAATATATTTTTTTCTTCAACTATTATTCTAGTCAGTGTGAATTATCCAAAGTTGAACAAAAGTTTAAGATATTTATATTCCGGTTTTTTTGTTTCCCTTGGAGAAAACTCACCACTACATTAACAATACTTACTCATCAAATCTCTGAATGTGGTTTTGTCATGTGTCATCAAATTATCCATAATAGCTCTCCAACTAAAAGAGGAAGATGGTACACAAATTAGAAGAGCAAGAAACCCTTACAGGAAACTTTCTGCTCCTTTAACTAAACTGGCTCACATCTGGTAAAACTTCTCATCTAATCTGTTTGTTATATAGGTGCCATTTCCTCGGTACAGTTTGATTGACTTGGTCCTATACAACTTTTAGGAATTTTATCTATCTTATTAAAATGTATATATATTTTATAAATCTGAAGTTGAAAAAACATACTTTTGCATAGAAATTAATATTAGGTGAGTTTTATGCTTTGTATGGTAATCTAAAATACAGAACATCCCTCTTCTCTTCTCTCAATAGAGAGATACCTTGGGAAACTGTTTCACATTACATAACCTCATGTGTAACAGCGCACATAGAATTTGTGACAGCTACTGACACAAGCAAGAAAAAAAAGTCTTACTGGTTAACACAAGAAGCATCCATTTGGAAGAAACTGGAATCCATAAAGAGATCAAATGCTTCCTTTTTCCATGCTCTCCTTGTATACTGATACCCACTAAGACTGCTTAATAACTGGACACAGGCTCGATAGCTGGATGCATTGTGAGCACTAAACCAAATAAAGTCAACATGAGATAATTTTCAACTTTTGCTTTATAAGAAGTTTTCAACAGATACTCAGTCCTTACCCTCTCTGATTCAACTGAAGCATCAGACTCACTAAATTTCAGTTAGCTATAAAGATCTACATAAACTGAATAAATTGTAAAGATACCTGTGATTACGGAGGTAGGGCACAACATAGTGCATAATATTTACAAGCAAAGGAATAACTCTCTCTTTTTCATCGCTGTAGAAAACCATATCCAAGAGATGGGCCAAAACCTATTAAAAAGGGAGGAAGAAATGTTATCGCCCACTCCCAAGCTACTTTATGCTTACCTTAAGCAATTTTTTTGTACCGTGTTCTGCACTGAATGTTCAAGTTTACAATAGAAGCGATCAAATTCCAGGTACTATATAAAATCCGAAGTATAAACATGCCTTCATTTTTAAAACGAACTTAGGTAAAAAACACAAAAGCATAAACTCTTGGTCAAAGTATTCTACAGTATAAGCTACAAAACGAAAAATACAAAGACTGAGTGTGATTATCAGCAGAAAACAGCATATACCACTAACAGCACAGAAAGTTTGCCACCAAAAATATCCCCTATACTCATCCATCTCACTGAATCTTTATAGCCTGCTTAATCAGTTTTATATATTGTTATATGACAGGAACCCTTATCTATTCACATCAATGTTTCCTGTCAAGTCTCTTTCCCCAAACTTCTAATCCAAAGCTTTTTGCAATATAAAAGACTATTATAAATCAGTATTTAGTACACCTGAGGAGACATTTACCTCAGAAAGTAAGGTTAATGCATGGACACTATAAACTGATGGAGTTATGTTTGAAGTTTCCATTGCTGGAGACAACATATCTAAACAGAAATAATAATAAAAAATGTCCAAAGTTAATTTTCTTACGCCATTATTTACTTTACAAGCATACTTTAATAGCATAGATTTTGAAGTCGTACAGACTCTGTCAAATACACTACATAAGATACTAATGCCTGAACATACTAATATGGAAGTATTTTTATAAATATTTAATACATAAAATATTAAATTAGTATTTTCACTTCTCTCTATATACAGTATGTATACATATTCAAATAAGTTAAAGCTTCATTAATTTTGGGCTGATAATTAAACTAATTATAATGTTTCACTTAAAATAAAAGATGAGAATAAAACCACCTTCAACATCAGATTCCAAGTTGTTTCCATCAACCATAATCTTGGGGGAAGGCTTAACCTCTAAGTTTCGTCTTAGCCAAGTAGTCTGTTCCAAGGAAGAACCAGCAATTGCCCCAATGGCATCCACTATCTTGTGCGTTATATCCTGGTGGGAAAACAACAACTAAACATTCTAAGAAACATTTGCGCAGAGGGCTATGTTTGTTGTCCTGACGTGCTTTTGTAGGAAGTCTACAGAACTTGTCGAGTATAGAACGCAATTCAGTAATCTTTCTTCGAATAGCTTCTGTTCAATATTATCAGTTTTAACTCCCCAGAAGATAACGTCAGCTTCTTCCACAGATAAAAATAAAATTATAAATATACTAAACAGAAGATACTAAAGACTCATTTTAGAGTACATAAATGATATGCAAGAACATGCTAACACATTCAAGAAAGGTTCCGATTCAATAAAATAAAATAATCTGTAAATGGTTAGTATATCTTTCTATGAATAACCAAGACTACAGGGTTGTTTTTTTTTTTTTTTTTTTTTTTTTTTGCAGAAGTCCTTCCAATCTAGTATACCTACGGCAGTTCTAAACATGCATTTGGTTGTGGCAACAAGCTTCTTGTTAAAAACATATGTCAAAATATATTTTGAAAATATATCTTTAAAAAAGTCTAAGGTTTAGTCCACAGGCACCTTTACTAAATCTGCAGAACAGTAAGGAAGTTCTATTCTGTGTATGAACATGATTGATTAACTCTGGCAGAGCTCTGCTGTGTTTTTCAACAAGGTAGTATAGCATTATCTCATATCTGAAACGCATTTTCATTTCCATTGAAATATATATCCCCGGGCATCTGAATAGGTTTTTTTTTTTTAATTCTGAACTACTTGGAAAAAATAATAATAATTCAACTTTCACATCATATCACTTATATGCACAGGATCAGATTCATCAGCTCTTCACTGGTTTACTAGCTTTTAAAAATAATAAAGCTTCCTCCTCTGCGGTTCCTCCCTCTCTCTAATGACTATGGGTGGAGAATAAATAACACTCCCTAAGACTTTCTGCTTAACACTTACAGACATCGGGAATTTAGACTCAAGACAGTAGAAATTGCACCATTTTGCAATATGATTACTATTGAAAAGAGGTGCCACCTGCTCTTTGTATATGGTAAGCATATATACTGAAAAGTTTGCAAAACTGGTGTTTCCTCCCAACCAAATATATGTTACAATGACCTAAGTCTGACTCATGCAAAATACAGGCACCTGACTCATTTAAATCACAGTACATCCTTAAATCCCATACATCTTTAATTAAACAGCAAGCGCAGAATATAAAACTGTCAGCAGTGAAAAATGTTCTATCTTGTCATGGTGCTCCACTGCATCTCCTTCTTCAGTTTCAGGCATTTAAATCTTAAAGATTTATCCCAAAAATCATGTTCCAGTAAATTCCCACTTCACCTCACATCAAAAAAAATGAAGTAGTTTCATACAACCACGATCAGATGGCAACAACAGAACTAACTGTACAGAAGAATACATTTCTGAAGCCAATAGACTTCTTATGAAAACACTAATGGGGTTACCCAATTTACTTTTGGGCCTCCATTAGAATTTTTCAGACAATTGTTCTAAGAAAAAAAAGAGAATTCAGGAAATCCAGCAACATGAGAGAAAAGTTTGGTGATCAAAAACAGTGACATAAAATAACAAGCAAGGTCTCTGCTTGGAGAAATCACTGCAGTGACAGGAATGTTAAATAAGAACAGAAAATTTATAAATTCTTTCTAGTAGAGGAAAAGAAATATTCATCTAAACATCAAAAACCACATTGTTTCATGGACAGCATGGTTAACAAAGGCTGCTTTCCAACCCCGCAGTATTTTTGCCCTGTAACCATTTCTCTGCCATGTCAAATCCTCCCCACAATATTCTCCCTACAGCTCCCTCTCACTTCCCAAACTGTTTGGCGGGAAAACTGGCAGCACTTGACTAGCTATCCAGCTGCTCCTTCTTAAGGACAATGAAGGGGAATTTCATCCGTCCTTTCCCTCAATAGGACAGTAATTTCTCCCTTTCCTACAGCTTTCAAAAGCACATCTTTACAATGTCTTTCAAATTTTGCTCAAAATTCACCAACAGTTTTTGGGATGGCAAAACAGGGAGAACACAGAGGTCTCATTTCCTTAGGGAACTACACTAAATAAAACAGGCAACTTACAAGCAATAAACATTTTTAAATTTGTTTAGCATTTACCAATTGCTTAAAAACATTTTTACACGGAAAATGATTTGGATACACTATTGTGATTCATGTGATTCTCTCAAGCTACTTACAAATAAATAAATAAATATATTTACCTGAAGATCTCTTTGATCTTTCTTATTCTCCAGACTTGGATTTTTCATAATGAACTCATTAAGAACACTGCAAAAATAATCAATTAGATACAGATTTTATTCTTATAGTAAAAGATTCAGCTAGGACAACACTGAAGAAATTTACATGCATAGTACTTATTTGCTAAACCTTCAATCGTTTCTATTTACTAACATTTCTAGAAAACATGTTTCCAAGTTTCTTAACCAGAAGAGAATACTTTCCAAGTACTCCTAGCACCAGAAGAGTTTATCAAGTATATACCTGTCTAAAATACACAAAAATATCTTTAAGGACAATTTACTAGCAAAACTAAATTCCACATATTCTAGAAAATGGTGCTTGATGCTTTATACAGAAAGCCATATTCAATATTTTATTTCTAACACTACACAAACAGCTTCCATGCTGGGGATTCATCTTTTTTTAGTAGGCTATAGATATACATATACTTGCCAAACAGTAATTAGAGTCACTTTCTAAGTAAAATCAGAAGCTTAAATCTACTGTTTAAAGAGTCTGAGTGGCTCAAATAATCAGTAATGTAATAAAAATCTTGGCTTATATCATATTACAATATACAGTTTAATACATATAACCATTCCCCAGAGAAGAGACTAATTTGATAGACTAGGCAATAGGGATTTCCCTCCACTCAAAAATAAGTGATACTAATACTTCAAAATAAGTGATAATACTAATACTTCAATATGACTTCTCACACTTACGTTTGAACTTCCTTAGAAATCACAAACATCAAGTGCTTACCCAAGTATGAGGAATTGTCCTGGAGCTGGAAGACCAACCTGGATAGAGTCCTTTAGTAGAAGCAGTAGTGATGCCCAACTATCTACTAAGCTGGTCACTGGAATCCTTGAAGAGAAAGTAATGACGGCAATTAAAACAGCATCAGGATTTTATATCTCAGGTATCCCCCATTTTCTTTGTACTTCACAGTTCTCCTGACTGATATTGTGAATCAACCTTCACATAGGTCTTTCTTCTTTAAGAACTGGTTTAATATTAGGCGGCTACATTAAGCTTACAGTATGTAAACTCAAGAAAAAAAGGAAGGCAGAACAGTGTACTCAAAGGACATGCTTTTCAGCCAACAGCTGGAGTGGTACCAGGGAACTAAAGCATAACTTTGTTCAGCTTTCGGTGGCTGGGGGACAGATTTCCTGTAAGATTTTTAGGCGGGGGAAGAAAGGTGATGCAGAACTGGGGAAACCTTAAAATCCCTTTCTTCATTATAATGCCTACAGTTCAAAACCATTCTTTTTTATGATTTAGGTTACACAGGGAATTTTTTTTATCTTATGAGTTATAAAAGACAAAAATGTCCAGATTGTCCATCTGCTCTTGATAACAGAAATAAAATTTAACTTCTTGCCTCACCTTTGAGTATAAGCATAGAAAAACTGCAACATGCAGACTTCCAGTGAAAGATGTTTCTAGGAAGAAGATATGAAATCTGTGTGATTAGGAAGAAGCAACTAAATTTTTTTGTTGTTGTCCGTCATTGCAAAAATGACAATGCTAAAATGTTATGGCAATGACTGAAGATAATTTATTTCCTTAACAGTATCTTGTGAATTCTCATTCAGAAAGTTATTCTTTTCTTTTGCTTCTTCTTCCTTTTCCCACTTCACCTGAAAAAAGTCAACCTGATTCCAGGGTACACGTTTGTTTCCCTCACCTAACTATCCTATCCCTATGAAACATGTTCTTTTACAGAAGCAGTGAACGGGATTCTGGAGTTTTTCAGTAAACAGTAATAACTTAAGCAGGTATGACTTCCTGTTTTTTCCCCTCCCAAAAGTTCATCCACCTACTAGATAATCAATATTTTCATTGTAGTGAATGGCAGCATGAATTACTTGTTCGAATTTGTGAATGAAGTATCCATATCATTTAATATCTAAGCTTCTGTAAAAAGATATTAAATAAATCAATAGCACATTTACAGTGTTCATACCTTGTCCTTTGCTATGGCTGGAGGCTGCTTCAAAACTTCTTTCACTGTTTGTATAACAGTCTCGGTCCTCATTACACTGATAGAACGAACGAGCTCTACCAGCAGAAGTTGTTCTTCACCAGCTGTAGGAATAACCTGCAAGAATCAAATACACGTCATAGATTATCATCAGAGACAATGCCTGTGCCAAAAATTAAGGCAGCATGCCTCACAGGGTTCTTATCAAGTAAAAGGAAAGAGATCTGCTACTAAAGAGGAGATTTGGGTTCCAGATCTGAACTGCCTCCCACAGAAGCGTGTCACTGTCAACTATAAAGGGAATCCTAGGAAGCTGCCTTTACTGCGAGTGATGTTTTTAAGAAGGCTCCTAATGAGAGGACTTTTCCCAAGTGAGCAATAACGTTCTGACAATTCGTAAGAGTCACAGTAAGAAACCCTAAAAGCTTCCTCCAAGAACACGTTCTCCTTCGACTACTTTTGTCATAGTCTTCAGGTTTGTTCAAAATATTTCAATAACAACAGTCAAGGAACGTTAGTCAATCAAGGGACTGAGCATGCAAAAGTCTGGAAATATGAAACACAAGTTGGAGGCGCCAGTTCAGGCTGGACCTCTAATCTAAACATCAACTATCTGGTTTCTAATTTGGAAATACACTCCTTTTCAAAACACTACAGATTTTTTTGCTAACTAAATATTCACACTCTCTTCAAATAGGACATGCTATACTTGATATGTCAGACGTGAATTTATGGAAATCATTTCTAGCGAGGTTGTGATGAGTCAAGAGCTCCTGCAAAGTCATCACTGAACTTATAGTACTATCTTAAAAAGCTGTATCGTGGTTGGGGAGGGTGGTGAGGTGAAAAACGTATTCTCCTGCACTGCGTGAGATCGTTACATGAGTAAAGCCTGCAACAAAACATACATGCCAAAGGGTCAGTTAAATTTATAACCATGGGTTCAAAAACAAAAGGGCTGCAAGCACTCTATATTTCTGCAAATTTAGGTGACTAAAAAGGATAGTGAATAAATTCAGGCATTTGAGTATGAATACCCTGGACTAAAATAATTCACGGAAAAAATTCATGCTTTTAAGAGGTTATGCCAATAGTGAAAAGTATTCACATATGAGCAAAATTCTTCATATATACTCCCTACGAAGGTGCATACTATACATTCACACCCCTAAGCCTGTCCATAAATCATCATTATTATCTTACTGCATTGCACAGCGAACTTGGTGACAGACTGGACCCATACTGTCCTAGATTCCAGAGAGGCATAGAATAGAAAGATCAGGTTTTAAATAAATCAGTTTTTAGCACAGTCACGATAGAAGGCACACTGTTTCAGCTAAAATTGTTAGTAACAAATAGTTTATCCGGGGGCTTGGAATTATTACTCTGATCTTGAAGGATTCAGAAGGTTAACCCACTTCTAAATTAAATTAGTACCTCCCTGATCATACAGTTGCTAATTAAAAAATGCAATTTATACAAATATTTTCCATATTCCATAATGTGCATTTTTCACTGGAACCCTCAATCTTACCCTTAATGATTTTAAATTACTTGAAGGTACTACCTCTGTTCAAAGTCACCATGGTAGTATACACATACCTTTGTCCTAGAAGCATTTTTATTTTGTCTCCTTTCATTCCATACAAATGCAATAGCAGCCATGAAGTGAACACCATGATTCATCGAAATTGGGCCCAACAGTTCAAGAATCTGCTGCCTCAAGTTCTGAAACATGGAAGTAGAACACGTTCACCTTTCAACAAGCAACTCAGCATTATGTTCAAAATGACTAGCTATCGAGCCATACTGGGACGGCAACTCTCACTAGTTTTTGTCAAAATGGAAGGAGGCACTCTGCATTCATAAAGCTCTATTCTACATGTGGTACTCTGCAATCATTTTATTAATGACTAAAACAATGGAAGAGAAAAATACATTTGTTAAATTTGCAAATGTTAATGAAGTGGAAAGCAGCTGATATTGAAAGGCATAGAACCCAAAGCGACCTGACAAACTGGAAAAATATCCTAAAAAAGATAATCTGCATTAGGACTTGGACTTTGCATGCAAAGGTAGCAATAAACTGCTTTAGCAATTCAGGATGAGTAACTACTTAGATAGCAGTGCTGCTGAAAAAAAGTCTTGGAATTATAATCAATCAGAAACTCACTGAGTCAACAATGACAAGACTTTGCAAGGAAGAAAAAAAAGCATCTGTAAACAGCTGTGCTACATGCAAGACATGAAACAGTATTTCCTCTGAAAGAGGCTACCACGTAGCATGTCCGGTTTTGGACACCTTACTTCAAGAAATGTACACAACTTGAGAGAACCCAAACTATAAAAAAAGAAGAAAGATTAGTGATATAGAGAATATGACCTACAAGAGACAGAAATTAATTTGTATAGTTTAGAGAAAAGAGAGTTAGTGGGGATATAACAGTTTTCAAATATGTATGAAGTAATTACAAAGAAGAAAGGAAGATGATGTTCATGCCCACTACAAGTAGTGAAGGGCTTAAGCTACGGCAAGTGAGATAAAGATTAAGAGGTAGGAAGAAAATCCTAGAACAAGGTACTTGGGGACACTGAAATTTTCATTGTTGAAACCCTTTAAAAACATATTTTTTGAAACCTTTCAGTTTTGAACCTTGTCTTTCAACCTTTGTCTTTCAACGACTTCAATTGTTCTTCAGGATGGATGTGATTTCTTTTGTAGAAAGCCAACAGGGGAGGCACATTGTTGCCAGGTGATATACAAGTTTAAATGAGTTAAAAACACAAAAAAGTTTAAAAGCTGATTCTATACCCATTTATAAAAGCCTTGTTTCTGGGGTGGATGATTATAGATGGGGACAAAGGTATTACAACACAATTTACACTTCAGGGAACGTAAGTAAATTTAGACTGACAAAGGGATTCACTTAAATGATGTTATCCCTGATATTCTGACCTTTGTTGATCCAAGATTAATAGTGGTAATGGAAGCAGCAGCAGCAGCAGTTGTTTTCTCTGAAGAATCTGCAAGGTGAAGGATGCTCCACAGCAGAGTCACAGAAGACATGATCATATGCAGGATAGATAAGATCCCATTGCGTGCTTCAATCAAATGTTTCTGATCCACATTAACCAAAAGCTAGCCGATTTCAAAGGAGAAAGGGAGGAAGAGCATTAAACATCTACATAAACAGCATTAATAAAATAGTATGCATTGAAATTTAATGGGCATAGAAGTTTCAACTTTAACTCCTTTTCAAAATATTTTTGAATAATTCTTATAGTATATACAGGTTTCAATCTATTAAATAATAACAAATTAAAGAATCTTTCGACTCACAATCGTTCAGTATGGAATGTATTCTGAACGTGTGAGGCCTCATGTCTACAGTGATCAATTTTATATGATCTACCAATACCTTTGCAAAACTTAATTATTTCAGAATTTGAGAGGAAACTAATACTCCATGCAAAATTATTTACTTGCACAGGCAGTAAACACGTCTCCGTTATCTCTAAATGAATGGAAGGCAAAGGGAAATATGAACAAAAACAAAATAAGAGATAGCAGGACAAAATACTTTCTTGCAGAATCTGGGCCAAATTCCTGACATAGACTATGCACAGAGCATCAGATCCAAAAATATCACCTGAATAAAAAGAGAAACTGTGAAAATATAGAAGCTGCAGAAAGAGAATATGCTGGCATATTGCAAGATGAACACAATCCAGCCAGAAAATAAAGGCATCAGTCTGTAAAGTCCCACAAACGAAGCCAGTTCTAAAAGGTGGCATCTCAGAGGTCTGAAAGTTAATGAATGCCTATTTTGCTCTTTTTCAGGGTAACAACAACAACAACAACAACAACAACTCTAAGAATACTCTCTCAAAGTGCACTTTGTAGAAAACTGTTCTTCTGTTCAATTGAAATGTATAAATTATCAACGAAAAATATATTTATAGCCGAGAAAGTCATATTTAGTATTTTTCCACTCAAGCCTTCAATTCTGTACATTTACCTATATACAAGCACTGTTAGTACAAATCATACTCCTTAATTTGATGGGTACCGTACAGGAATCTTTCAGACGCCCGGATAGGTTTACCTGATGATACTGTGTGGATGGATCTAGGAGGCAGTAATGAATTATTGTTGTGATACCTTCCAGTAAAGTAAGAATCATGTCTGGTGGAGTGACTGATGCCATCCAAAGAGGTCTAAAATAAAAGATTAAATTTTTAAGTAGCTCTTTTGGTGGTAAATTAACTCAGTACAAGAAAATTTGCTTGAGAAATCATACGTCTCCACATACACATACCTATTATCAGATAATCCTGTTTCATATTTATACTGCTGAATTAAATTATCCAAATTCCTGCAAAGCTGAAGGGTCACAGAAACAACTACCCTCTGAAGGACTTTTCCCATGTAAGGCAAAGTAGAAGTGATAAGGCCAATCCACTGGGGATGCATTTTACAGGCACAGTGTTGATGCAGAGCTCTTATCACTGCACAGAGAAACATGCCTTGACAGGTTATTGGCTGGGAGTGTAAATACTGAAGGGAAGTCATCGGCTGCTGAGGGCCAATGTGCTCTAAGTCCGTTATGACAAATTCGAAGCATGTTTCATTTTCCTCAGGCACAGTCATTACTCTGTGCTCCAGGACAATCAGCCGCTGGAGTACTTTTAGAAGCTGTGACTGCAGAGTACTGCCATTATCAAATTCGTCTTCAGAGAAGTTTATAAGGCTGTCTTCAGAGAAACCTTCTTCTACAGCCACTATGTTTTTTCCAGCTGTCTTTTCACTGTGCCATTTCTGTGCGCTAAAGATAGAAGACAGCAGACAATGCAGGATGACTTTCTGAACCTTGCACTTGGATAACATGTCCGAAATAAAACTAGGAAAGCCCTTTGCAGAGCTTTCTATGACTTTTGCCAACTCGGCAAACAGAAGTGTCAAAATTTCGATGCTCATCATTTGCATATTACGGTTTCCTATTAGATCTTGTGAGGTTACTTTAACATGAGTTGGATAGTGGCTCCGCATATAATACAAACATAAGGAGATAAGAATTTCTATGTACATGGAACTCCGAAAGTTATGGTTCGAATCAACTGGGATGTGACTATAGAAATCTTTGCCCATAACAGATATTCGATGCCTCGCTAGAAGATTCTGGAGCAACGAGAGCTGAGGAGTGTATGCATTGTTGACACTGGTAGTAGAGATGGCACTTACAAAAGCTGAAGGATTTGTTTTCAGAATTGCTTTAATTGCAGAGAAAGCATATAGTGTCCTTGAAGAGTCATACAGCTGGAGATAGAGCAGCACATGTTGATACAATGGATGGATATTAAAGTTGGGAGATCTTCGCGTTCCTGGGGACCCCACATCGCTCTCTATTTCTGAAATCTCTCCTTCTCCACAACTGTACCAGTTTTCTAAATCAAGACCATCACTAAAGAAGACATTAGTTTGTTTAAGCTTTTCCGTCTGTGCTTTCTTCTTCTCTTCATCTTTCTTTTTGGCTATTTTCACCTTAGGTTTTGCACCTGGTTGCTTACCAGACTCTTTAACAATTGTTTCTTTTTCTGACATTTTTTCTGGTGGCTTTCCTTTGAAGCTGAACTGAATACTACTGTGGCTTCGCTTTCTAGTCTTTGATTCTGTGGAAGTAGAAGTGAGGTCAGAGAGAGACTGCTGACTTGCTACAATACAGGGTGAAGAGTTATTTCTTGAAATTTCATCTCTTAAGCTCTCAAGCCCAGTCTCAGTTGACGCTGATAATAACTGGGAACTGTCATTACTAAGTAAACTACTCTGGCTACTTTGAATATTTTGATCTTCACTTTTAGTCACCTCTTCAGAGTTATCTAAGGGACTGAATTTACATGAAGTATCCTCAGAGAGTAAATTATGTCCAACTGATTCAGTCTCTTCTCCAAGACCACTTACAACTTTGCATATCAGATCAGTAACCACTTGCTGCACAATTTCATCAGGTGAGTCTTCTCTCAGAGTCTGAGAGCTATCTTGAGCACTCAGGCTTTCTGTTTCTACCTCGTAACTGATGTTGTCTCCAACAGATGACTGAGAACAGCCAGAGTCAGAACTCTGCAATGTTTCAACTTGATGGTCGGGAAGGTCGAAATCGGACACAACCATTGGAATAGTCTCACTGCTAGTACTTAACAAGGAAAGTCTGTCACTCAGAGGGTTGACAGTCAGGCTAAAGTTCTCCATTTCGTCCATAGCAAGTTGTTTTTCGTTGCTCTCTTTAGGTATAATAAGTTGTCCTTGGCTTAAAGGCACATGAGAAAATGCTTAAAAAAAAAAAAAAAAAAAGAAAAACATACATGTCATATTTAGAATTAAGAATAAGAATTTAGAATTAAAATTAAGAACTTAAACTATTTTTAATACTTAGACTGAGATGAAGCTATGGTACTTAGCTCCTTTTCACTCCAGAACAGGAAAAAAAAAAAAAGTTAACAAGCAAACCACACATGCGTTCACTTAACCAAAGCAAAATTATTTTAGTAATATACTTTAGCAAAACAGCGTAATTCATATATGAAAACTTTAGCAGTCTTATGTGCTTGTCTTTTCATAAAAAGTAATTAACACAATGTTACTAAAATTATACTGTATGTGCTTACATCTTCAAACTAGACCAGTATGTTTTCAGTCAGTCTCACATCACTGTGATCCTAATTCAAAAAAGCAATTTAGCTCTTGTTTAAACTTCGAGACATACGCTTAAGTTCCACTGAAATGAATAAGTCATAATAATACACTCTACATTAAAATACTTGAGCATTTTCTTAATTTGAAAGCAATGAAACTTCAAAGATACTAGGGTATCTTTGGGTAGATATATTGAGTAGACTTTGTATCTAGTCTACCAGGAAGGCTTGAATTAGGAAAAAACGTGCATGCATAAACAGACGTACGTATAAGCAGTAGTTACTCTAGAACATTCTTTTGAGATGACTGTCAAAGATTTCTACTATGTTTTAACATTACTTGCAAATAATACATAAGTAAAATTAAGTAAGAAACTTCCTACAGTCCTCTAGTGTACATACCATCTGTACAGCTAAATTTCTGCATAAAGTGCTTTTCATTTTCTTCTTCAGGGTGACAGGGAGATTTAGTCCAGCAACATTCAGCCTGTACTCGCTGAACAGAAACTCGCTGAGTTTTTGGATGGAGAAGCAGTAGGAGCAAGGGTTCGAGAACCCTTGCAATATCATGTCTCTGAAGGACCTGATTTAGCCAGGCTTGTCCCACTGACCACGTAGAACCATCTAAGCTATTAAGGCTATCTAGCATAATAAATAAAGATCTAGAACAGAAAGAAGAATGAACTTAGTACATATTCTATACCACACACACTATAACCCCAATTTAATCTGATATTTGATCAATTCAATATGTTGGGACATACTCCAGTGTTCCCCCCAAGTGTATAAAACAGTATCTTCTTTGCAGCCCAAATTTGCAGTATCTTATTTGCAAACTTTGCAGCCCAAAATTTCATATTTTAGTCTAGCCTAATGAAGAAAAGACCAGGAAGAGCTAGTAATAATGTCAGTTAAGACAGCTGTAGTAGTAGTAGTAGTAATGTCAGTTAAAATATTTGTACAGCTACTAGCATAACAAAGTGCCATTGCCTACTAAGTGCTACAAAAAGACAAACTTAAAAAGCCAATTTATGCAGTTGCATGGAAAATAGGAGATACCTTATCCAAAGGTTTTATCTTCGAGAACTGGGAGGAGAAATGTATGTAATGATAAAATTCTTCCTACTCTCATCATTTTCTTCTTTTTACAGTTTTAGCCTTCTGAATTCTTTCCAAATTTGAGGGGGAAAACAATTTGCTTTGGATTCTAAATTTTACCATTTTATGTCCTCCAGTGGCATGTGTTCATAATAAGCTCTTAGCTGTACATACAGAATTTATCACCATTTCCACGAGCGACAGCAGCAAGTCAAAGAAACGATAACCATTCTACCCTGCTTCCTATAGCGAGGTATACACTAGGAAATTTACACGAGCGTCTTCCCAGCACATTGCTATGATGAGGCTAGTTCAGGGTCTGGAACATACAGCTTTTTCCTAAGAAGATAGCCTGATACCAGAAAGCAAAATAGAAATCCTCTGCTGCTCGTCAGTAGGTGACATCTTATATAAAAACACACATATTACAGAAAATAATTTTTATATTTTAGTGCTTATTTGCAGATTTTTCTTAAATTCTCTTAGCCCTATCCTTACTTTCTGTTTCTACATAATGCACTTCTGTGTTGACTTCTCTCTCTTGCTTTTGTTTTTACTAAGTTAAATAACTTAGTAAAATAACCCAGATACTACGCTCAATATAGACAAATATTTTAATTGCAGCACTGGTCAATGCACCAGGGGATCTCTCCTGTCCTACATTTATAACTGTCAGAAAAATCTACAGCTGACATCATCATGAAAATAAATTTGTAAAACACTCGGATTCACTTCGTCCCCTCCTTCCTGGCTCTCAGGGTTGCACTGAAGTTCTCTAAATTCTAAATACTTTATGCTGTCAGTGTAACGTAGTTAAAAGATTTTGAAGCAAAATTATTTCAGCTGAATCACGGCTGCAATTACCAACCTGTCAAAGGTACGGCCAAAGGAAGAAGTCTTGTTAATATGAAGGTCACGGGTGAGATGCCATAGCACTGCAAACTTTGCATGAGCTTCCATTCTTACTTTCTGTGGATCAAATCATACGTTAGATCTAACAGAATACCACAGCCTCTGACAAGAACTGGGAAAAAGAGGTATACAGAAGCTTAAAATTACTTCATGATATCTCTTAAATCACTTATTTGACTATGAATTCAAATTTTACCTTTTAAATATTGAAAAATAATAATAGGCAACAATAGCTTTTTACAGACAATTTTAGTAACGTGAAATGATTCCTCCCCCCATCTTGATCTTTCCTTTCTCCATTTCCATGTTTAGCCTGAAAAAAATTTTGAATACATGTTGCCACAGCTTGAACAATACTCATTTCACTCTTGCCAGTTGCACAGCTCTATTTTCAGTGAGTTTATCGTCATCAATTCCAAGGCATTAGAAGAGATCTTGAAGAGTGATCCGGAGGAAACACACAAGCTTTTGAAACTCAAAGATACAGAGGAAGAGAGAAGAACTGTCAGAGAAATGTTTAGATATAAGCAGGGAAGTGGTAGTGTCTAGAGTCACGGAATTAAACACAGTATCCAAGGAAATAAGGAAACGAAAATAGATTGGCTAGAAAGAGAGATGCAAGAACTCTCCAGCTAGACAGAGTTCATCAATAAGACACCAATTTTTGCTCTAGAATTTACAGCTTAGCTTTGCAACAAATAATACATGCTTAATGTAGTAGATGAGTTTTAACAACTGCTAATAATATGCAAAATATTTAATTCTGAAAATGATATTAAGGTAAAAATTTTTCGTCTTCATCTCTTTACTGTGGCTATCAGAGCAAAGAGTTATTCCACCAAGGCTGTAAACAATAACAAATGCCACACTTCGATATGAGTACGTGGGTATAACTGTAAAAAAACAGTTGCTAAGCAGCTGCAGGACTGAACAAAGAAAGCACAGCAATCAGAATGGTTATACTGAACAGAGTATCATGTAAAATTTTTTTCAAATACAAGGACGGTTTAAACTAAATTGCTAGATAAGCAGGGATAGCGCAGGTTTTCTCTGTTCATTTTTAGAACGTATGCTTATAGGAAATAAATAGTAGGTATAGTCACCTCTAATCAAAATGAAACCAAACTGCAAACTTAGTATCACTGAGAATTTGGCATACTTCCAGACTTCACTTACAACACATAGTTTAAGTTCTGCAACCACTAATATAACCAATATGTGCCACAACAACGCAAATTAAGTCAAAGCTACAATAAATGAAAACTATAATAAAATTATAACACAAGGCAGATCACAGCAGATTCAGACTAAAAGCTAGAGAAATAGCAGTATTCTGCCCCCCAAAAAAAAAAAAAGCAAACATAACACGTGTAGAAAAACTATGCTTATCACAGGAAAAAAATTGCAGCCAAATATATACACTATTACACAAAACGATTCAACAACATCTGCTGATTAGAGAGACAAAATAACCAATTCTCAAACATATAGAGAAGACTTCATGTGAGCCCTTGCAGTCCATGCTCGGAAGATTACCAAGTTACTCCCCTCACAGCAAGGCTGGCAGAAATGAGCGTGTGCCACCTCTTCAGACACAGCAGTTCACAGACCAGCATCATATGTTAAACTATAAATCAGCAGCAGTATTATCCAACATGTCAAGCTGTGAACTGCAGTGATTGACGAGCTGCCTCACAGTTGGCCTTGCTAACCTCTGGCAGGAAGGCAGAAAAGGCAACTGCTTGTGAAATCACGCAAGCTCACATTGCTTCCTATTATCCACTCTGTAGGGGCTGTGAAGACAGTTTGTACCTCTAAAATTTAAAGCACTACAAAGGCCTCAACTCAAACGTCAAATCGATTTCTAGAAATGTGTTTCAGGTAGAGGCAAAATAGCACCAGTCATTACAAGCAGAACACCTATTAACCATAGTAAAAGCTATGAGCATGTGCTTTATATATGGGTAAGTAGAGCATTTCTTTTGATAAGAGGAAAAGTCTCCTACATAAAACAGTCTGTGCTGCTGAATGCTGAAAAGCTCTCTTACTCTAGTAGGAAAGTAAAGAGATATACCACAGACATAGAATAGACATTGTTTGTCAGCAATCTGAACACCTTCCAGCTTCAAAAGATTTTGAAAATACTACTGTGCTAGCTAAACTGAGAGCAAAGCAGAAGTAGTCAGTCAGATAGCCAAGATCACTTCAAACAAACAAACAAACAAACAAACAAGCTGGCAGTGAGATAAGAGACCTTTGTGCAGCAATAAGGAAGAGGAGAAATACATCATGTGAATTCATGAGCAAATATTTTAACCTGCGGTGGCATAACAGGAATTAGGACAAGTTACAAAGTACTAACGAGAAATCAAACACTATTATCAGAGAGGCAGAGAAGCAGCTCTCCGATCATTCAAAATGTTCTTCTCAGATTATAGTCCACGGCTTTTGACAGGAGACAGAGATAGAAAATAAAGACCTTCAAGAACACAGTAGCTTCAGCAACACGCTCAGAAGAAATGGGCGGACCACCTGCAACCCAGCTGTCATGTCAGCTAGAGTAGGTCAGGCAAGCGTATTTCCACAAAGATGTAGATGCAAAAGAAGTGGCAATTACTGGAAAGCAGTTTATTAGCTGCCCTCTAGAACTGGCAAGCATGTCAGAAATGGTCACAATTTAAATCTTATAAGGACGAATAACTAGAGAAGAAAGGGGCCACATGAGATTGGGAAGAACTGTTTCGGAGCCTCTTCACTGAGAGCTTGAAGGAGAAGACTGTTACAGAAACACTCTAGCTGGAAATATTTAACTGAGAGAAGCTGCAGAAGATGGAGCTCATAAATATCTAGCATGGCTCTTGGTGTCTGCAAATAAAGTAAAATCTATCAGTTACAGGTGGTTCTTTGTTACAGTTAATGTAAGTATCAGACCAAAAAGAACAAGATAACGTAGGAATTGTCAGAAAGACAAGAAAACAAATTCACTGTCAGAGAGAAAGGGAATTACTAGTTTGCTGCTTCTGCCTTAATGTCAAATGCAGCAGATTCAGAAGGATGCTTCTCACGGCAAGCAAAAGGAACCAAAAACAAACCTCAGACTGTAAAAATGAGGTGGTGGCACCAAGATAAAGGCAGTAAAGACAACTTCTCTCAGAGGGAAAGAAAAGAGAAACGAAAAGAATAGAAAGATAAAGAGGACCACAGATGACTGGTCTCGAGAGAGAAGCAATCCAACACCACTATCAAGAAAAGTGACTGAGGTGTGGCAATGGCAAAAACTTAGTTCTTTCTCCATCTCCAAGTTCTGTGAGGAAAAAGAAGGGCATGCATGCTGTATTAAGATAAATTATTTGACAGGATGAAAGAATTAGATGAAATAGGAAGGAGCACCTAGGAGGGCTGGACTAGTTGGTTAGGATAAAGCAAAATGAATGCTTAAATTTGAAGGAGCTGCACAGAGAAAGAAGAGCAGTTAGGACAACCAGAATGGAATCCAGAAAGTCTAGGTCCAAGTCCTACCATTACAAACCCTTTTCTATACGCCTTGATTAAGATCCCATCTTTCTTGAAACTGTTTCTTTGTACAAATGATTCCCTGTTCTTCAGAGAAGCATAATGAGGAAAAAGGAATCAATATTTGTGAAACATCAAGATGTCATGAAAATAGGGATCAAATACAGAGATAAGGTTAACTGCTCTTGCGAGTAGACAAGTCTGATGTTCTGCATAGAAGTAAAAGTATTTCTAACGTTTGAAACAATCTTAAAGATATAATGCAACGTTTTAAATACTGGAGTTATTTATGCCCTCCATTGAAGCACCATGTCCTTTTTCCAGACATGTTTCTCTAAAAATAAACATACATTTATCTCATATTTCAGTAACCATGAGAACAGCTTACCTTGTCTCTGTGAGTCAGCTGCTGACTAATAACATCTTCACAAATGCTAGAAGATGGAACAAGGTTGTGCAGCTGGTAGAAGAGCTCCACACTCTTCTGATGATGCTGAGGAGTTCCATCTCCCAGCTGGTCCCAGAGAGTTAAAGCTATATGCTTTGTACATGAAAAAAAAATGTTTCAAGAAACACAAATGAATGCGTATTACACATTTTTTTTTCTTCTCTAAACTAACCTGAGCTATATATGCAGTGCGGGGAGACACTGTATCTGATAACATCATATGACTAACAGGCTATCTATAAAAATGTTCTTTATATTTGCATGAACATAAGCAACTGCTTAAAACATTGCATTGACTTACAGCATAAAACATTCCTGTTAGAGGAGTCAGAATTTAGTCATCTCCAGATACAGAAGATTCTCACTAGAATATAATTAACTACCTAATGCACTCTGTGGTCAATTATCTTTTGGAGATGATTTCTTATACAAGTTACAAATGCAGAAAGAGTAGTTTGTCAGAGTCCTAGAACACGTACAGCCCAGCTTCATACCTTTGCTACTGCTAGATGTTAGCAATGCTATTCAATCAATTTTCATTTATATTTTCAAAATCTTGATTCAATCAAGTGTTTTCACCTGAGCAATCAATAACACACCCACAGCTGGAAAGTTGATCATGTATTTTCATTTAGAGTCTAATATGGATTACAACTGTTGTCAAAACACTCAGCAAGAAAGTTTGGTTTACCACATCAAGCAGACGAAAATGGCTGAGAATGTCAGTCTCCACTAGCCAGAAAAAACAACCTAGAAAAACCATTAATGAGATGTTCCATGGTACCTTGAAGAAATCTGTCTTTTCAGCCATGTATCTCAGGTTGCCTTGAGAAAGAGGAGGTCTAATGACGACAGCCACTCTTCCCTGGTTAGGGCTAAGAGGCTGAGCAGTTTCCACACTGTTCAGATTTTCTCCAGTGACAAGAGCAACGGATTGAGTCAATCCAACCAAGTCCATCACAAGGGAAATAGTAACCCCCTGAATGCTGAAATCACTTGCTTGTTTGCAAGCATTCATTAGAGTCTGAAGCCACAGCGGAGGCTGCACTTGTTCACAGTCTGAAACGAAAAATCAGAGAAAATATCTTCATTTAACAACAATTTTAAGTGTTATTAACTTTTTCGCTATATCTCAAAACCACATCTATGATTGTCCTTTACCTTTCACATTTCAACTCTCCCACTGTATGCGTGCATGAAAATGTATGCAGGAGAAATACTGATATATCTTTATATCTTTTCCTTTAGAATAATATACTCAACGAATGTAATACTAAATCACTTCAAATATTTAGTAACTAAAAGTGGACATCAAAACTTGAGCAAGGAAGAGAAAAAAATACATTTTATGGAATTGCATCTGTTTTCATGGATGCATTCATTTCATTTTTTAGACAAAACTGCACATTCAGTAGGCTGCACATTCCTTCATTTCCTTTCCTCCTTCAGGAAACTCTTGAAGTGCAAACAAATTGTAACAATGCAGTTTGTCCTAGAATAATTCTATGGTATCTTATATATGTAAATACAGTGTCAATTGACACAAGATAGATTCGTTTTGCTTGGAGCATAAGACTGGAGTAAAAGCATCTCCAGCAACTGATGGTTTTGACGAGAAATAATTATCCCTACTAAATAATATTCTGCTTTCACTGTAGGTTGTTACTTCCCCCTTCTTCCTGTCCCCTGACTTATTACAATACAATGGTCTGATAATGCACGTGTCTTTCTCTGCAGTTGACAGTCAGCTCACCCTTTGTGCACCACATGCACAATGCACTAAAAAAAATTTTAGTGCTATCAGAGTAATTTTTCTTAAAATATCAAAAGGACTCTATGGATTACATTACTAAAATATCTAAACGATTCCACAATGAGACACAAATGAAAAAGTGTTATTTGATAGGCATAAATACAGCATCTATTTACAATCAAAAGGAAGAAGATGTAATTTCTAATTTACATACATAATAATTTTGGAATATAATTTAAAGCCTAAATATATCTAACATAATTCCAATTTAACGTTCTATAGTTTATAAACATTCCTTTGAGCTTGACTCAATTCCCTTTTTAATTTCTTCAATTAAAAATAGCAGACATTTATTTGAGGAAATTAAGCATACAGCTAAGTTCAAGCACATTTATGTTCTACCAGTATCAGAATAATTAGACTCATTCTTAAAACTAGATCAATGCCTCTCACCATCAGCTAAAGGCAAACATCACATCACCAACAAACAACAGCAAAAATACGATACAAAGTTAGGAAGCCTTCAGTAAAACCAGGCTCCTCCACAGCAGAAAAACGTATCAGTAAATGAAGAGGCTGGCGTGTGAATTATGGCAACTACTGTTTCCCATCCTCCACTTCCCATCCTCCACTTCCCATCCTCCACTTCCCATCCTCCACTTCCCATCCTCCACTTCCCATCCTCCGTTGCACTTGTGGCAATTATGTGAAGCAGGACTCCCGGGACAACCCAGCAGACCTGTTCCCATTGCTATGCTGGTCAGTCCTGCCACCCTGTTCACCAACATCTGTGTCTGAAACAAAAGCCTCCCAGCTGATTTCAATCACCTTGTTTGTATCTTAAGGAAACGATTACTTTAACTTTTAATAGAAGCAAAGTAAAACTAATGAAGTTCTTGGCTGGTATGAAGCTTATAACTTCCATATATTCCATGCTCATTCCCTATTCAAAGGTACGCTCTTCAATGGACTGCAAATGTAACATCACAAATGGAAGAGTTCAGGTGATAAATGAGCAATGCAAAAACAAGACATTTAACAAAGCGAACGTGATTTCTAGGATGACTGCCCTCCTATGAGACAACTATTGCTACTCAAGTTCTACAGGCTTCCTGCTTTACAGTTTAGAAGGCAGCAATAACAGAAAGAAAGAATTATATTCACTGAATAACAATAAGCAAACAGCTTTTTTTTTTTTTTGTTTTTAAATTCTCTGTCATCAGCCACGACTCTCATTTGCAGGCTGCTAGTGTTTGAAATTGTTATATTTTTCAGGGTCATTTCACAGAAAAAGCAGAAATATCCTATGCCAGATCTTTTACACAAGGTAGTATGTCTATTTTATAAACGGAAATCTGAAGGCCAGAGATGATGCAACTTTCACAGACTCCCGAACCAAGCCCAAGGAAAAGGTTAACAGAATACAGAGTTTAGAAAAGCAATACCCTTAGTTAATAAACAACCATCATCAAGTTGCCTTTAACTGGCACACAAGTATTTGATATATCTGGATCTCACGAAGTCAAAGACACTCAACTCCTGACTGTGGAATGAAGACATATATAATATATCTAAAAAACTATAGGAACAGAAGAAGCAGTTATCTGTTAAATCAATGCATATGTTACTGCCAAAAAACAATCACCTCTCCAAGCAGTGCCCATGCCATTTTGAAAGCTGTGGATAAGAACAATTTGCAAGTTTCCAGGAAAAATAAAACCACAGAAGACTCTGAGATTAGTCAAAGTTATACTAATTACAATTTCTTGCTTGCATCTAGTACCTCCACCATAGTATCATTTTAAGGCAACAACTCTCAAGCCACCAGAAGTGGAACTGGAATTAGGACACTTACCTGCAAGCACACATACGCTTCACAGAACCCCCATTTTTTGTTTTATTTTCTGATGCAATTAAAGCCACAAGAATTGTTTGTATCTTAAGGAAATGATTACTTTAACTTTTAATAGGAGCAAAGTAAAAACTAACGAAGTTCTTAGCTGGTATGAAGCTTATAACTTCCATATATTCCACAAAGTAATCAATGTGCAAGTCAGTCCACAACTACCAAAATGGAGCTAAAACCATATTTGATGTCAGTTTGTGACAGTTACATATATATGGCAAGCTGAAAATACTTTCTGACATAGGAAAAGTGTTATTAAGAAAATATTCCTGTATCCATATGGTAAAGGGCAACAGCTGAAAATCTAGACTCTACTCTCAGACTTCAGCTTGTGTAATTTATATTTGTCATCCTAATATTGATTAGTGTCAAATCCCATGCAAAATCAGCAATGTTCTTAAAATCTATTAAGAAGTAGTTTAGTCCAAAAAGTAAACCAATTAATACAGAAGGAAACATATGTTTGAGAAGAATAACAAGCAACAACACACACAAAGCATGACTACTGTTACTTTAAATATTTTTGAAAGAAAATATTTTAAAAGCAAAGAACCAAGAAGAGTGCCGCTTACCAACTTCAGGTTTCCCAGTATGTAATTCTGAAGTACGGTTTCCCTCAGCAATGTAAACAGGAAAACTCGAACATTCAAGATACAGCTGACAGGCAGCAATAAAGGCAGGAAGGTATTCTTTTGGTGTTTTTTTCTTGCTTGTTTTCTTCACCTTAGCATCTCCTTGTGATTCTCTATCCCATTTTGCTGTCTGCCCTTGCTCTCTAGCGGGATCTACTGGAAGCTCTGTCCCTAACGGCTGAGACAAGGAATTACTCTGAATGATATACAAGTTGATAAATCTGGTTAAAAACTGTTGGACATACTCCAAACAGCACTGCATTGCAGTCTTTTGGATTGTTTTCCCACTTCGAGTTGCTGTCCCCTGTGTCATTAGGGAAGGAGGCTGTACAATGGTTTCCTCAGATCCCACAGTTGATGCTGTCTCAGTCTCTGAGGATGTGCTACCTATAATAGGGATGCTGGGTGCACCATGACCTTCATTCAGTGCTCTATCAATATCATCACTTGTATCCGCCTGATATTGTACAAACTCTGTGAATCCACTTTCTGACGACCGACTGCTTGGAGGATTTTCACCGTCTTCAAACACATCATTAGGATTGTCAAGTGAAATGGAGGGCACCTAATTGGGAGAAAAGTTTAGTGATTCTTTAAAATGGATTATTTAGTTATGAGTAAGAAATTATTTACTATTTATTTCCTTGTCAGCTTGAAAGCAACACAAGTTCTAAAGTTTTATTCCACAGTTTTAAGTTATATCTCATCATATAAATACATTTTATACAAAATAACGCTTGGTATTTTTCTTTTGAGCTCTTTCAGTAACAGCTTAAATCACACTTAACCCCTGAAAAACCCCAAAATATATTTGCATGATAGACCAAGCCAACTATATATCTAGCATATATATATTAAAAAAAAAATAAAGCAAAATACTTAATTAAAAAAGAGACATGATTGTGATATGCAGAAAAAGTTAAAAACAATAATATGTAAAGAAACCTGAAGTGCATATACACAAGATATTATTATTAGATTTTTGCATGTTCTTCTACAAAGAAAGGATTTCCAATCTGTTGATTGGAAAACTGCTGCAGCAGTTAAGTACAAGATGCCTCTGAGCAAATGAGATAAAAGGAGATTTCAAGAAAGAGGAATGGGAAGACTTGAGAGACTAGGAAGAGGTATACACTTCTCTGATCACGGTTTTAAAGATTCCATTGCGCAAGTAAATAATCTAGTATACTAGAGATTAAATTAAATTTAACCTAGAAGCTGTCTAGATATAAGATACAAGAACCACAACTCAAAGTTACATATGCCTAGGCAGGTAGGATCAATGTCTTTTAATACTGCAACTACATGTTGTCAAAACATTCTTTTAATATTACAACTACATATTGTCAAAACATTTTTAGAAAAAGAGGTGAACTGTAGAACTGTAAAAGAAGAATAAAACATTTTACAATCTAAAAAGAAAAATTTCTCATCTCCAAATGTATATTAATAAAGCCATACCAAGAAGTTAATACTTGCTTATACTAATAAGCTACACTTATACTAATAAACTAATAAGTTTTATTCTCATTATTGCATAATGAAACTTCTGTTTGGAGGGAATTTTAGTTATTCTTAGATGTATAATATAACATTAAGTAACTAGCATCTTTCCCTTTATATACCAGTCCTGAGATATGGAAGTTGGCGATTTCTTTCAGATAAAAGGCTATAACTATAGAACAATAAATAAACTTTATTTTTAAAATACTCATCATTTGCAACTAGAGACAACAAAAATCATTTGCTAAAAACAAGAAGAAAGGGTTGCTCCAGTAATTACGGTTCTTCATGATGCATTATCTGCATCAATTTCATGTCAGGTCAGAAAACACACACATTTGATGCATGTTTTCTACTCAAAACAAACCCACAGAGGCTTTCTGTCCCATTCTAACCCCTTACAGGCCTTTTGGTAAACGATAGCACAGTCTTTGCTGGTGAGAACATGAGGTGAACAGGGATGCAACTTAAGCAGAAACGGAAGGATTAGGGGGAAGAAAGTAAATAGCATCCCTACATACTAGGTAAATACAGGGAACAGCATCCCTACATACTTCTTATCTAGCCACAAAGATCTCAGGCAACATCTGCTGTCGTGAACAGGACCTTTAAGGTCACTGTTCACTGGCCAACATCATAACACAAGTCCTCAATATAGAGTTCGAGTGTAATCTATGTCTCCCTCTCCCAGGAAAAAATCTGAATAACTTATTCATAACTAAACAAAAACAACATTGCCATCATTACATACGTAGCACATCACATCTTGCTTTACCAGAAATAAAGAAAGAATCTGAAAGAAAATTGATTTCAGAAAGCTTTTGCTGTCTCCTATGTCAAGGCGTACAAAAACAAGCTTGGCAGGACATAAAGGGTGACTGTCTTATGAAATATCACATACAAGGCACCAGACGTGAGGGACTTAATTTCACTCTGTCTTCTAGTAAAAGCCACAGTCATGTCTCAATCAGTTTTAGTTAAAAGAAATAGGCTGCTGAATGTTCAGAGGGAACATCCCATTAGCAGTTAATCAAAACTACAAATCGAGAAAAGGGAATATTCCCTCTCAAAAGTATGGATGAGTCCTCTCAGAACGTGCACAGTAAAGCAATGAAGAAATAGATGCTCCGTGTAAAAAAAGCTAGTTGACCTGGACCCAGAAGTCTCCACTTCAAAGCTACATGCAACCCAAAGGGAATGACCAGAGGACTGCCTGAGGGAGGAACGTCCTGCGTTCTACTTCTGGGTCCAGGTGCGTGCCCTAACTCCTGAACTCTGTATGAAGCAAGACTCAAGTTTTCACAATTCTACATCTTTCTCATATCCTGATTTCTAAAGAAAAGATTTTGTGGGTATCTGAGCCACAGAACGCTCAGCTTGAATGCATCCTTGGCCACAGTCACTATGTGATGGATTTTAAGACTGTGAAAGAAGGAACGAGGTGAACAGCAAAATTACACTTATGCACTTCACAAGAACAGATTTTGGCTTGTTCAGGGAACAGATCGGCAGGATCTCACAGGAGACTAGCCTGAAAGGCAAGGAGGTCCAATATAGTTTTTCAAGGAGAAACTCCATGAAGCACAAAAACAGTCTGTTCTGACGTCCAGAAGGTCAAGCGAGCATGGCAGAGGGGCCAGCTTGAATAAAGAAAGCCTGACTGAGCTCAAATGCAAACAGAAAGTACATAGGAGACAGGAGCAGGGTTGGGCTATCTGGGAGAAATATAGACAAATTGCCTGGGCACGCGCAGAGAGAATTAGAAGAGTAAAAACTCAGCTGGAGCTGAAACTAGTGAGAAATATGAAGGGCAACTATTAGAATGGCTTCTAGCGCTACAGCAGCAGCAAAAGGAAGATGAAGGAAAACGTGGGCAACCTGCCCATGGCTAACTACTGACAAAGGACGTGGAAAAAAGATAAGATATTCAGTGCCCTTTTTTTTGCCAGTCTTTCTTTTTTCAGTCAAAAAAGGCATGAAGAAAGATCCAGGAAACTAAAGGTCAGTCAACCTAATTTCAGTCCTCAGGAAAAATTATGCAACAAACCTTTCTGGAAGCCATGCCCAAAGGACTTGAAAGTGATTGGCAACAGACCACACAGACCTACCAAATACTAACTGCGTCTGACCAACCTGATTGCTTTCTATGATGAGATGATTGGCTCTGTCGATGGGGGAGGGCAACGGATGTCATTTACCTTGACTTTAGCAAGGATTCTTCCAATAGCATCCTTACAACCAAACTAGAATTATGTAGTTTGGATAGGAGAACTGTAAGCTAGGTGGAAATGTGGCTGGATTGTCAGGCTTAGAGGGTTGTGATCAAAAGTACAATGTCCAATTGACAGCCACTTGTAAGTGGCATTTGCCAGGGGTACATACTGGAGCTGCGACTTGTTTAACATCTTCATCAGCATGAAGATGCTGAAGTCTCATCTACACAAGCGTGAATGCATCTTCAGCAAGTTCGCCGATGACACCAAACCGAGGAGAACAATCAATGCACTGGAGGGTGAGATTGTCAAACAGAGCAATTTTGACAAGGTGGAGAAACGGGCCGAAAAGGAACCTCATGAAGTTCGACAAGGACAAATACAAAGTCCAGCACCTGGAACAGAATATCCCTAGGCAACACTACAGACTGAGCAGCTCTGCATAAAGAATCCGGGAGTCCTGATGGGCAAGTTGAACATGAGCCAGCAGTGCACTCTACGTTTTAAACATGCTGTGTATATTAAACTAAAAGTAATGCAAGACCTGTAGGTGGTCCAACACTGATTCAGAAAGCCCACTTTTCTTTTTTATGGAATAAATGTACCACACAAAATGTATTTTTCCAAGATGTTGCAAGATATAATCGGTTACCTTTTTATTTTCCCATTCTTTGATGGAGCTGCTGTGTCCACTAGGCAGCTGCAGGATACCATCTGTACCTGCAGACAGTAACGGAGGTTGAACCTTACTAAGGATCTTCGAGCAGAGTCTGAGAGAATCAGTAAGCTCAGACAAGTGCAACGTATGAAGATGGCTTGTCAACGCAGAAATCATTCTGAGCAACAGCTGAGGCAAGTGTTCTGTTTGTATTTCAATATAAGTCTCCTAACAAAGAAATAGTAAATGAATTGTAATGCAAATTCATGCAAATTCTAATGCAAATTCATGAACTGTAATGCAAATTCTGCCTTAGAAGTTATTTTCTATAACAGCAGTGCCTATCATTTCCTTAATTGTATTCTAACCATCTTAAAAATGGAAAAAGGAAAATCTAAAAATCTGAGAATAAGAACTACATGCTTTTCTTCCAAAATTTTAATGAAATCAGCTTTACAGTTAAGACGACCTTTTTCACTGGGTAATCAACAAATACAAATGTATCTAGCTTCTCCCAGAATTTTAAATCTTGTTCATTACATTACAAATGCATTACAAAATGTTACTCTGGTATTATTAAAATAATCTCAACATACAAGTTTAAGAATGAATAATAAAAAAATCATTTAATAACTAAAGGCAAAACAGGCTGATTGCCATACCTGACACAGCACTCTCATACTTCTAGTAGGCTTTGAAATGAGAAAGCAAAGAATTGAGGAAAGACAGGTACAGAAAAAACAGTTCCAACAGTCTGCTATATTAAGCAATGGCATCAGAGAAAGAAGACAAATCTTATTGTGACATATTTAAATGAGTTAGCCTTAAAAGAAAGTTGCACATCTAAACTAGCATACAGAACTGCAAAAGCTTATGCTTGTAATACAATGTAGGTTTTAGAAAAAAGAAACTGGGGACAAACAAAAAAGTTTCAGGTAAATGCATCATAAAAAACATTTCTGTTTATATACAACCAGTCTATTGAAAATTATTCAATGAAAACGACATTTCTTCTAAAGGTGCCTGCCAATTTATGGCAATATCTTTTTGACAACAAAATTTGATAAAGCAGATACAGTATTTCTGAAGACTACCAACACACAGGATCCCAGTATTAGCAATGAACACAGAAATTCTTACCAAAGACACTATATCCAATAAAAAATCCACTAACAAGCAGAAATTTGTCAGGGGTAACTCAGATTGCTCACTACCTCCTCCAGGCCCAGTCTGAAGTCTGGCATGTAGTGTCCTCCTGCAAAATTCAAATAAGCTTTCACAATTTTTTTTTTTTCTTTACGCTCACCATGTTTCCGTAAGTTAATGCAAAGCTGCACATAGCAGAGATAATCCTCATAAACAAATGAAAAATCTCTCCTTTTACTGTAAAGTACTTTATTTGGCCCCACTGTTCCTCCTTCTGCAAACATGCCATCAGTAACACCTTTTACTGTAAAACAGTATTCACTCATAAAACAAACAAAACCAAGCTACAGAAAATTGTGTTTGCGACTCCATCATATACAGTAATATCTTCTAGAGTTAGCATAGGCACCAGTAACAGGAGTAAGGGATAATTTCACTAGAAGCACAGTCATTTGGAAGAGATCTAAACCCAAGGCATTAAGCACTTGAGACAATGGAAAACAAAATAAAAGGCCCATGAAGCGTTAAAGTTGGGCAAGATGAAAACAAAACAAGCTCTTCCAAATGTCCTCTTCAGCGTCAATCAACTGCATTGTTTTACTGTTGACAAGAATTCAAAATCTGAGGAGTCATGTTGCTGTGCGAAGTTAGAAGGAATGCAAACACACTCTGAAATCATGTTGTAATCCGAAGACTTTTAAAACAAAAAACATCAACAAAAAAATAGTATTTTTCTTTTTCCAACTCATTTATTCTGCATATGTGGTGGGGGGGAGGGCAGGTACCTCTCACATTTTCAGCAACAGTTAATTATGCTAATCCTTTCTCACTGTTTTGGAAGAGCTCATGAACATATCCCCGGACTGAAAAAAAGATTTATTTGAAATAGTAGAAGCAATGCCGAAACCAAGCCTGAAACAGTGACTGCAAGACTGTAAGTGCTGATTATATGACAGAAAACAGAGTGGACAAAAGAATGACTGGCACTGTTGCCTCACAAATGTCAACAAAAACAATTTAAAAGTCAGAATTTGTCAGAAGTAGATTTTTTTTTTTTTTAAAGTATTCAAACTATATCCTGTTAGGAACCTAAATAAGTAAATAACAAAAAGGTTTTCTACTTAACTAAAACCCCCATCAAATCACTGTACCTTTCTAAGAATAGACACATTTTGTCCTAAAACTACTAGCCTGTTTTATAGTTCAGTGAAATGGTTGTTCTGTGTGAATTTTGTAACACTTAAATTCTTTTTAGAATTCTGTGCTGCTGCTTGGGAAGATCTATTTCATAAATCCCGTGTACATTTGTTCAACTGTAATACCTCACAAAGGAAGATTTACATTAAACTTGCTGAGCTCTTTATCAAAAATTTTGAGAGAAGGCTCAGCTGCACTGAATGATACTTAGATGGGAGAAAATATCAGGTAAAAGTTTTTTTTTTTTTTTTTAAATTTTTAGTAGGGGAATAGATGTAAGAAAAAGCCTAAGACAAATTCAGATAGATATCAGAATCTGTTCTGAAAAGTAACAACTGTGATTTGGCAATCAGAAAAGAGGCTATAATTTATAAATCCATAGTTTAAAATTGATTGGGTAAGTTTTCACTTAAAGGCATAGCCCATTCAACAGGAAGAAAACAACTTATATAGCGCAGCAGCTTATGTAGATAAACATTTTCATATTTCAGAAGTATGTTTGTTTACTAATAGTGTCACCAGGTATCCACGCTTACAGTAGCATCTAATTATTTATAGACAAATTTTCACTTTCTGGTTAGACTGCTCTTTTTATTCTGGGAATTCAGAAGCAGTTCAAAACAAAAATTAAACAAATCACAGAAGTCTGAGTTGGAAGGGTGTTCATCCAGTCTAGCTTCCCACGCTGAGCAGGACTATTAACAACACTAGATAAGGTCAGCTGTAGTTTTGTCTAGCAGCATCCTGGAAACTTCTGAGGAGGCTCCACAGCCTTTCTGGGTAACCTGCTCCAGTGCTGCACTGTCTTCACTGCAAAGCTTTTCTAAAGTCCAGTCTGAACCTCCTGAACCACCACTCATTGCTGCCCCTTGTTTTACCATAAACTTTGTGGATGCCCTTCAAGAAATCATAGACTGCTATGAAAGTCCCTCCCTTGCTTACTCTTCTCTTTGTCAGACCAAAACAAGCTCAGCTCCTTCATATGCTCCTTGCAGGTCATGTGTCCTGGACCTCTGACCATCTCAGTAGTCCTTTACTGGAGTCTCCTCAGTTTCTCAACACACTTCCTCACCTGAGCTGTCCAAAGCTGGACACTATATTCCACAAGTGAAGGGAAAAATAACTCCCCTTCTCCTGCAGCACACATTCCCTCTAATGTAGCCCAGGATGCTGTTTGCCTTATTTATGGCAACAGCATAGTGTTGGCTCATAGTCAGACTGGTGTCGAATCACAGAATGGTTGAGGTTGGAAGGGACCTCTGGAGATCATCTAGGCCAACCTCCCTGCTCAAGCAGGGACCTCCAGAGCACCATTGCGCAGGCTCGCGTCCAGGCGAGTTTTGAATATCTCCAGGGAAGGACACTCCACTGCCTCTCTGGAGAACCTGTTCCAATGCTCTGTCATCCTCCCAGGAAAGAAGTTTTTTCTCAGGTTCAGATGGAACTGCCTGTGGTTCAGTTTCTGCCCGTTGCCTCTTGTCCTGTTGCTGGGCACCACGGAGAAGAGACTGGCCTCATCCTCTCGACACCCCCTCCCCCCATACTTGTACACGTTTACTTCGCTCTCCCCAATAAACTTTAGAAAGTTTATGCATTTCTCCTGTGAATAAAATGCCATCTACAATCCCTGCAACTGTTAGCAGGTGAGCGGAGGGGCAGGATCACCTCCCTCCACCTGCTGGCAACACTCTGCCTCATGCACCCCAGGATCCCATTGGCCTTCTTGGCCACAAGGGCGCATTGCTGCCTCATGCTTAACTTGTTGTCCACCAGCACTCCCAGGTCCTTTTCAGCAGAGCTACTTTCCAGCAGGTCAACCCCCAGCCTGTCCTGCTGCATGGGATTATTCCTCCCTAGGTGCCAGACCCTGCACTTGCCTTTGTGGAACTTCAGGAGGTTCCTCTCCGCCCACCTCTCCAGCCTGTCCAGGTCCCTCTGAAGGGCAGCACAGTCTTCTGGTGGGTCAGCCACTCCCCCCACTTTAGTATCATCAGCAAACTTGCTGAGGGTGCACTCTGTGCCTTCCTCCAGGTCATTGGTGAATACATTGAACAGGACTGGACCCAGGACTGACCCCTGGGGGACACCGCTAGCTACAGGCCTCCAACTAGACCCTGCGCTACTGACCACAACCCTCTGAGCTCGGCCATCCAGCCAGTTCTCAATCCACCTCACCGTCCACTCGTCTAGCCCACACTTCCCGAGTTTCCCTAGGAGGATGTGATGGGAGGCAGTGTCAAAAGCCTTGCTGAAGCCTGAAGCCTTGCTGAAGTATGAAGAAATATCTTAAAATACTATTAAACTGTTCCCTAAGCAATGACAAAATCTTAATTTTCTATAAATTTAATTCGAAATCCCTGTATCATCCATCCATTGACACCACAACAACCCCTGCTCTCCTGCGGGTCTCTCGGACCTCATCTCCCTCTTTAGTATTTCTGGTTCTCCCTTATTTACTGCATTCCCTCCCTCAGGCGTCTTTGCCAGGCACAGGCCTCTCACACTTCCCTGAAAGAGCAGGGCAAGAGACAACATATTCCACAACTCACTAGTGGTGAAGATGACCAGTTGGATAGGTACGGAATGAGCAATCACGTACTGGGCAAAGAGAACAAGACAGGCAAGCTTTAGAAGTCACTCTAGAGTCCTCCCTTCAGCAGGGGTACTAATTTCTGCCTCTTGCTAATTTCTGCCTCACACCAATTTTGTGAGAACTTATGTTGCTAAGACCACTAATCATATCTGATTGATAATAGCCAAAGGGTCAGAATCAAAGGGATGGGGAACTAAAAGACTTACAGACAGAACGGTCACACCAGACTAATTTCTTTTTTAAAAGAAGATTAGAAAACAAAAGCTAACTTCAATTTTACATACGTAGTAATTAAGTGTTAAAACCTACCTGCAACATTCTTCAAACCAACGAGCAATGTAATCCCACATATAATAAGGCTCAAAAGAATTAAAGAGAAGATTGGCAGTTTTAATCAGTTCTGCCGTTCTCTTATTTTCTCTCAGTTTGCTAAAAGAAAATAAAGAAAACAACATGTTATATTGTTACACTTTGTTTCAGAGGTATGTAACTACACATCACCCTGAGTTTACCCACAGCTATCAGACACTGATGAATCATCTCCCCCTCATCTCTTCGGTAGCTACTGTTGTACTGCTCAGTATTCTGGTGAGCTCCTCATATCAATGTCTCTGCACAGTTGCCAGGTTTCCTGTTTATCCTCCATTTCTTGTTTGCCTTTTTAATCACATATTTTTACTAGATCTGTTTTCCCACGACCATTCTCACAGCTCTTATTCTTCTACCCTTTGCACTTCCTTCTCCTCCCTGTCTTTTAAGATACTCAGCATATATCTTTAACGCTCTTTTTATCTTCCTCTCTGGCTGTCCTGTAGCACTCCTCAGTTTTACTCTACAGGAAAGCTCATCAAGCTGCACTGATGAGTTCTTTTTTTTTTTTTTTCTCCTTTTTTCTTTCTTTCTTTTTTTTTTTTTTTTTAAAAAAGAACAGAGATGTAAAGAATGCCACAACTAATCTGTATCACTGAGATACAGTCCTTCCAGCTGTATCAAGTGAGCATTTTGCTGCAGGGATAGAGTAAAATGTATGCTAAATATTTAAAAAAAATAAAGGTATAACCCTTCAGACCTTTGCATCAAATACAAAGTTGCAATTAACATCAATAGAATCTCCTTCATTAAAAATCATGTTTACAGTCCCACAGGCTTCCCAGTTGTGGCTCAGATACAGCACGCTTTCTGCGATTTTTTTTTTTTTTAAATACATTATACTCATTATCCACCTGCTTAGCTGTGTGTGGTCTTTGTTGAAAGAAGGTTCTGCCTGAAGCTCCAGTTCTGCTTTGCACTGTGTGTATAATGTTCGAAACACTTCAATCAATACATCCTCTAGGATGGCAGGGCCTAAAGAGAAATACCAGCAATGACACATCCCATTCAAAAGCTAGGTAGCCACGTTAATTTAACCTATGCGCAAGCCAACACACCCTTCCTCTTTGAGGGAAGAGGCTCAGCTCAGTAACATGTAAACATGACTACATGGTTTCCTGATGAAAGGGAATTTCCAACTGACCAGTTTCAAACACCCAGTCACTAAAGCTAGCTCTTGATGTTATCATACAGGAAATTTACTCAAATATTTATGTGAAAAACTACAACGTAAAATATTTTGAGCATCTTCATTCTCATTAAACTGAGGTGTTTTCTTTAATTCTGGACTAACTCTGCAGGATAGTCTTTGAAATAGTGCCCCCTTCAGATTTGAGTAAAATCCTAAATTTTAAGAGAAAAGGCTTGTTTTGAAATGAACTCATCACAAAGTGATTTTGCTTAAAATATCTTCTGCTTTCTGGTGCTTTCTCCTAGCCTCACAGAACTGCCTTCAGCTGGAGTACTGTTGTTGGCTTAAGCAGAATTCCTACTACCTTCTTCCATTTCAGTATGCCAGGACAATCCTCAAAGCTCTGCTTGCTTCATGAAATTTTAATTTGCATACTAAGACTGAAAATGTGACCCTTAGGAATCACAAATTACTAGGAAGTCAAGTTCTTGTCAGACAGTTTGTTCCTTGCACTCCGCTTTGCAAATCACTTACAACAATTTTAAGGGTATGATTTGGGAAGTATTTTTATGCTTTTATTATTCTGCCCCCAAATCTTAGGACAGATTTAGGAAATAATTTTGATATTTTCAGTAATCCCCAAACTGTGTTATTCCAAAGAAAAAGGTAAAACATCCCACACTTAACTGCTGTCAATACTTTTTAATTATCTACTTTTGTCCCACAGTCCTTTATTCTTATCTATTGAAAATTAAATCTAAATACTTTAAAAAGGGGAAAGGAAAATTAAAAGAAAATCAAAAACAAAGACACTTTTTTGTTAGCGATAAATTCTTCTGAAAAAAAGAACTTATTTTGTTGTTAATATTTCTCATCTCTATGTGCATATTCGATGAATGTGCAAATTATTCCCAAAAGCAACATTTGAAATTAATGGGCTAGTGACATTAACTATTGTAAAGAAATGGGAACGATCCAAACAGAATTTCTTTCAACATGCAGTTACTTCTCCCTATGACTCTGGCTTCAGATTGCCTGTGTTGAAAGTAGAAGTGCTGGATTTGGTTGAAGGTAAAGCTAATGACAACACTAAATCATGAGCCTGGAAGCTAGAAATCTAGCTAACCTGTCAATAGTAAGACTGTCTGTCATTAAGTACACAGCTTATTCAATTTGTGCAACAAAAGAGAAAAATTCTGTCAACAAAACCATGCAAAATGCAGTCAAGACTAGAAAAAGTAATATGAAAAGTACCTAGTTCAGGCTTATCCAGCAAACTGATAAGAATTCGAAAAGGCTTTAAGTCTTGCATTAATGTGCTTTCTTCTCCATGTCCATTAACTTGTAATATTCCAATCATTGCCTAAAAAGAGCAAAAGCATATCAGGAAAACAAAAACAAAACAAAAAAATAGCTTTTTGAAAGAAAGATATAAAAAAGTTGCATATAAAGGGAATGTTCTTGGTAGAGGAGACCATTTTCCCACCTCACTGCAGCTCATTCTCTCCATACTTAAGTATTCTCTCAACCTTGCCTTTGAAATCAAATTCTATTCCACAGATTATTAACTAGATTATACTAACATTCATAAGAATCAGAGCGCACAAAAACATACTGTAAATAAATACCAACCCAAAATTTTTTGAGAATAAGAAAAGACATGAGAATGATGAAGAAATTGTTTGAGAAGTAAGACTCACAGAAATTAAGAGCTAAATAGACAATAATCTGTCCCTCTAGGATATACCCACCTATGTGGCAGACCACCTTCTCGGCTGAGCTGAATGGAACATTTAGCAATGGCAGTTTTAAAACAAACTGGAAAACTGAGTTCCTACACTGAAGTAGTTAAGGGAACTAGCTGCAGAGTTAAAAGGAAAAAAAAACCCTGAAGATTCTGCTTAGTTTTGCGTCTGATGCTCACATCGTTGAGTTGAGGCTAGTTCATTTATTTTACAGCTTCTAAAAAGAGGAGGACAAAGAAGAAAAAGAGGAGATAGAGGAATGAGGCAGGAAAAGAGGTTTGACCTTGTTATCTGCTACAAAGCGGGAATTGTCAGACAGTATCCTGACAGAAACACCTTCTACACCTGAATATGCCTTTAGAAGGGAAGAATTTTCAGTATATAATAAGACAGGGTGGGGGGTGGGGGGGGAAGATAACACATATAAGGAGACTGCTAGAGCGAAAAAAAAAGCAGAAAGGGGCAATATCTTTGAAGTAATGCCCTTTTAATATTCTAAGGCAAAGAATAAGACAATTATCCCCCTCTTGTTAAAAATGAGTGCCCTCTATTCTGTTGCAGCAATAGTGCCTGCTACAAAAAAGCAAATAGATTATATCAGCTCTGCACCATTAATATAGTACTATCACACAGAAAGGCTTTAGTGGTATTAAAGCACAAAAATTAGCAGATTTAAAAGGAAGAGCACAGCTTATTAACAAATGCCTAGAGGACACTAAAGCTCACCACCTTTTATACAGAAGGTATAAATGAAGTTTATCTCATTCAAGCCTTCAGGCTTGGATAATGTCTGAACCAGCTGCCATGTAGGAGGCAGAAGGGTGATAAGCGAAGGGTGAGAAGTAAGGCCAGAAAAGTCCTTGGTGTGCAAGGAATTCTGCTCTCTCTTTTTATCAGTAAAATATCAGAACTCATTAACTGGAGATAAAGTACTAGTTCTGTGTCGGACATCGGCTTTAAGTTGCAATGGCTAAATATTCTTGGGTCAGCTGCTAAAAATGGAATCCCCACTGTTATCCCAATACATACTGCTGAAATTCTAATTGAATATCAGAAATTTTCTGACTCTATCGATTTGCCTTAATGAGAAAGTGTCTTCTCAATTTCAAGATCAGGTTCACAGCATCTTGAAAGACATCTATATACTTTAATCACTATAACGTGGGAAGGAGCATAGTTCTTGAGGTTAGGTGATCTCAGCGCACTTAGCAAGGCTTAATTTAATTTAAGGGTCAAAGAGTGTGAGTTTGCTCTACTGCCAGACAACGGACAACAGAAAGAACCTTCCCATTGCCCAGAGGTGAGAAAGACCTTTCTAACTCAAGCCTTCTGGGCAGAGACTATCTGATCAAATTTTTTTTTGATTCCCAAGACACAGGGGAGTTTTCCATATCTACAGAAGTAGAAGAGAACCTCTCCAATTCTGTTTTGTGAAAGAACATCTTCAAGCTTCAGTGCATTGGGCTTATAATCACATATCTTCCACGTATGCTACATTCACTGTGGAAAAGAAGAGACAGAAGTCTAATATTTGTCTGGCCATACTGTTATTCTAAAGAAACACACTATCCTACATCTCTCACAGTGTTTTTCATTGAGAAAGTATTAGAAGAGTAGGACAAACACCACAAAAAGATAGAAATTACATAGTCACATTGAAACGACAAGTTAAAGGATAAAGAAACAGCAACTTCAATATTATTTATGAGGATATATCCTAGAATAAAACATTGTAGAGTTACCTGGACTAACATTTCCTTAGAAAAAGTGTTGAAATAATAAGTGGCATGCTCCTCGGGATTGCTGTGCCTTGTACTTCTAGGTCCTATAAGGGCACCGTTGTTATCAAAACCTTCAAGCAAACAAAAGACAAGGCAAATAAATACCAATCTCTTAATAGAATTTTTTGCCAATTTCTTTAAACTACAAATCAAAATACTAGCACTGATAACTTACCAAGTTGAAGTCCCAGTAATGTTGGCAAGAGAAAGATGATTTTATAGAGTTTAATACAGGAAACTAACTGATAGCATTTTCACGCAAGCAGTTTGCACACAGGATTACATAGCTTAGTTTGTACACAGCATTACTAACCAGATTTTTTTTGTCCAAAGAAACAAGTGTTCAAAAACACAGCATGAACTACACAGTCCTAGAGTATCTTCAGAAAACTATGTTCCATAAAAATACTTCAATATCAATATTTTTTATATAAATGAGAACACAAAGTTCAGCATTTTAAATGTAAACAGATGATTACAAAAAAAAAAAAAAAAAGGCACTGACACCGCTAACATAAGACACCTCAACAGGAAGAATATCAGTTCCTTAGTAAACATGCATATGCCACAAAAAGCAACTTTATTTTTCAAAATTATAGGAAGGAGATAGACCTTTGTTTTGTTTGTATCTTTTCTTCTAGCAAGTGAAGTTTTTACTCCAGAAAAGCTTAGAAAAACAAAGTTAGTCACACTATTACACAGAAGTGTTTTCCACAGTTTTTGTCCTGAGGTGACAAAAACAGAAGGAAAGCCTGAGAAGATGCATGCCATTTAGCTGCAACTTAAAACAATCATTGTTAACAATGGTTAAAAGCTAACGTGGATTCAAAGAGATGTAATGAGATTTCTTTTGCCCACAGCATGTTAATAAGACTGTTCCCTGCTATAAAATGGTAAGAAGGAATAGCTAACACCAGAATTAAATCCTGTACATAAAAATCAGACTTCAGAGAGTCTTAGAACATAACTAACACCTCCATATTTTATATTTACGAGCAGAATATCATGGTAACATTATATATATACACACATACACACATATATATTTAGCCAGAAAGTCTGATCAGTTAAACAGAAAATGGAGGCATTAGCTGTACATAAAACAGGACCAAGACTCATCACTGTGAAACTATTTCCTGAAATTCCATTATCTTTAAGTGGAGATAATGCTCATAAAATAGCTGTAAAAGATACTTCCACGTTTTAAAAAAGCAGCACGATATTTTAATCACATAAAACATCTGTTTCAATGACAGCAAAAGATATACCTAATCCCCAAAGATACTGAGAAGAAACCTTAATGTAGTGTTTAATCTGGAAATTATATCCTTAATTTGGAAAATGGAGGTATGCAATATGACAGTGCACGTCATTGTCTTTCTTTAAAAGAAGAGTAATTTTCAAGTCGATGTCCTGAGCAACAATAAAGGCATGAAAAGATTTTAGCTGAAAATGTTCTAAGTATTTTATTTTACTTCTAAAATATTTTACTTCTAACCAAATGAGAGAATATCAAGAGTATATCCTGTCATAGACATTATTTTTTCCCCTCCAGAAAGGGGTTTAAGTAATGTTTTAACAACATGGGAGCCATAAAAAGTGGTTGGAAATTTCTTAATTCAAACATGCAACTTTAAGCTTCAGTAAACATTTAAGGCTTGCATAATCAAATCTTCATCAATATAACATCAATGTATTTCAACATAAGTGTTTTATTTTCATCCCTTCCAGCCCATTATGCTCCAAACATCGTTTATACTCTATAACACCTGTTCTCTGTATTTTCCATCTTAAGTTTCTAGAGAAACGAAGATTGCTTTTCAGTGGCTGTTTGTGCAGGACTCATGCAACAGTCTCCACCCCCGATTGCAGCCCATAGTTGCTGCTATTGAAAAAACATAAAAATAATTTATATAACAGGAAGCAGTTCCAGCACAATATTCTTAATTGGTCAAGTCGAGGGGGTGGGGGTACTTTTTCCCTACGATTAAAAAACCCAAAACATAACATTTCATTTTTCAAAGAATCTCTCCCATATTACGGCAAAACACTGCCAAGGAACACATGAGCCTTCCTCAACTTTTTGGCAAAAGTCAGACGAAGCACACACCTACCTAGAAGCCATGCATAAAGCCTTCGGTTGAGCGACATATCTCTGCGCAGTACTACGTGGAGGGCTGCTGACAAAATTCTGATCATGTCTGGACGTGTTGCCTGAAGAAATTAGGAACATTACTTAAATTAACTATGAAAAGTAATTCTTATTTTATGCTAACAGCTTAACATACACTAAAAAAAGTAGTTAATGTTCCAACATTTCCGAATTCAGAATAGCTCAAGAGCACGTAATCTTGCTCTTAGGAAACCAGAACACATTCATTACTTGGTAAACCAGAACACATTCATTACTTGGTAAACCAGAACACATTCATTACTTGGTAAACCAGAACACATTCATTACTTGGAACAGACATGTTGTAATAGCGTTGTGTACCTTTATGAACAGTAAAAATGCTTAACGCAGTTAGCTCATTTTTGTTAGAAGGTATTTCATTTTGTTTATTAGGTAGACGCCTTGGAAAAAAAATTCAACTAAAATGCTGTTAAAAAAAAAACAGATGAATAAACTTTAAATGTCATCCTTACTGTTTTAAGGCTTTGTAAGTGTCAATACTTAAAAAAAAAAAAAAAAAGAAAACTCCACCCTGCATTGATAATTTCAGCATTTTAACACCTAAACAGAGACAATTCAAATAACCCTATACTTACTACTAGATGTCAAACCACGCCCACAAGCAAGAATAGAGTCTTGTTTTTTTTAAAAAAAAAGGAAAGTTCATTTTTTTTCCATAATTTCTAACAAAGGCGAGAATCGAGATGTATGTATATAACTTTCCTCCAGTAGAAGAACAACTCAGGGATCATTTTACAAAAGAAAATGATTAGCAGTAAATGCAGTTCAGAAAAATGACCTAGATGTTACAGGTCTATCTTTCCACTACCACTGGGGCTGACTACTAACCCCAAATCACTAACCATTTAAAATTCTCTAATGTTCTAAATCATTTATGCTCTGCTGATTAACTTTTGCTGCTTTTTGAACACTGAGAAGTAGGAACTGGCACATAAACAGATCCTTTGTTTTCCAAGCAAATTAAAAGCTCACGTATAGACTGAGCATCATATTTTATATTAGTGTTGCGTATACAGAAATATCAAGTTAAAAGCACATGGGCAAAGATCATGACATGAGAATAGCCAGACCTACGAGAGGAACTCTCAGGGATGGCTCTGTTTAAAGCTGGAGAAAACCATGAACAAAGATTAACTAAATACTGCTACTGACTAAGAAAAGGAATACACTTATGAATTTCCAAATTAGTTTTTTTTAATATTAATAACCTACCTGACTCATGTGGAAAGGAAAACAAAAAAGGATAAGGTCCAAAGTGCTCCTCTGTACTAATACACTAGAATCTTGCACCGATGTGCTTACTGCTTCCACCTGAAGTAAGAGCAGGTATAAAAAGAGTTATTTACTGTATTATTTTAAGCTGGTAGATACAACTGAAATGCTCACAAAATAAGAACGTCTGTTTACAAATACAGTGATACGTAGGAAGTCAAAGTTACTTTAAAATTTTAAATAATGAAACAAGATAAAACAAGAAAATAAATTTATTTCATCAGTAAGGAAGAATATAATTAACAATTTCCCTGAGCTATACAAGCATAAGCGTTTACCTTTTCATAACATGAACGGATTTAAAAGACAAAATAATTCACTATATATTTTTCAAAAGGTGCAACAAAACTCAACCACTTTTAACTAAAGTGTGTCAAACGGAGAGTCAACTACATACAAAACCTAAGTGGTTCTGAAACATGAACTCAGCTTTGCAACACTTTCGTCATGCACAAAAGTATCATTTTAACTGGAGCCCTGATAAATAAATGTTTATTTTCATTTCTTCAAAGGCTATGTTCAGCCAGAAGACACCTAAAAACCCCTGAAACTATGTAATTACATAACTATGTCTAACACCGATGTCTCTTCATTGTTTTATTAAAAACATTACCATTAATTCAATGTCACTGCCAATTATATAGAGCTGATCTTCCATAGAAAGCTTCCTGTTCAAATGGGAGAGGACATAAGTGATTCCAGGCAATCGAACTGCAGGGCTGGTGAGAAGACTGCCCCAGAGAGCACTGTAGAACGCCGACTGATCCACAGCCGAGGCAACCTTCTCCAACAGCGTGTTCGTTCTGCAGAATAAGATCAACTGAATTAGTTTGCGCGTTACAAACGACCCCTCTGCCCAAAACCTTAAAAATAAAAATTACTGAAAGGACATTTTCTTTGGAGAGGCTAAGGTAAGTCCTGATTATATACGGAACTATAACGCAGCCGGACCAAAGCGACCACTAGCAATCCTGTGGGCCAACCTGCCTTGCAAAATGCTTTGCCTATCCACAGCTTCTCCTTACGTACTCAACACAGTCCAAAGCACCAAATGACTTTCAGTAGCAGATGAGAAAGTTAACTGTCACTGCAGACAGAGGTTGCAGACAGACAGCAGGGAAGCATGGCTACTGAGGAAAAGAATGAAGCGGGCAGCTCTGTAGCCTCCCTTTCCTTACACTCAGCACTTCTGGCAATAACAGGGCATAACAGTAGCACAACAATGGTTTGACTACTGCCGTCATTTCTCCCCGCTCATGTGGCAGCACCTCCACAGACTTTAGCAAGCTGAAGGCAAGCTGAGCAACCTTTGGCAAGGGACGGAAAGCATAAAGCAAGGCGGCAGCCCTTGTCCACTGTCGGAGGTATGTCAACTACAGCATACATATGTACCTATAGAGAAATGGGGAGAGACAGGATCAAACTGCTTTTCATAGACAAGTTGTGAAAATTCTAACTTTTGAAAACTGAAATATCAAGAATATGCAAGTGCATAAACAGCTTCAAAAACTCAAAGCCTCGGAGCATAACTTCGTTCTTCAATACGTCAGGATGCAACCCCAATACCCCAGACACCATGGTCAAGGTAACTCCTCTGAGGCTTAGGCTTGCTAGATATGAAGAGATGCTACCTCCCATGCCAGACTGCTGAAAACGTAACATTAACCTATACAGATAGGTGGATTATTGCTATCTGCTCTTACATAGGTGGGTTAATGATAGTTTAGATATTTTAATTGATAAATCTTAATGATGGAAGCCTGATTTGTATATCTTTAATTCAATTGATATATCTATTTTAGATCAAGATTAACATCACAAATATTTTGAAGGACACCCATTGAAAAGAAACAAGCAGAACATTCCTAACACGTCACGTATCTCAATCCATAACATAAACACAATACCCCGTCTACATAATTTAAATTCCCTTTCAATGTTAGGAAAAATGAATAATTAATTTATAATAATTGATGTTAGAAATCTTCCATCACAATGTTTAGTTGCAATTAACATGACTAGATGAAACTAAATACTATAAATCTTAAAAAACACACCAAAAATATTGAATGAAAAGTTACAATAAAAAAATTCAGTCATATTAACCTACAAACACATTTATCCTTACCTTTCATAATACTCTGACCCCTCCTCCAAACCAGGCAGTATCCCAGTTAACAGTCCTTGCAGACCTGGTTTCAATGTCTTCCCCAGAGGGAGGTAATAAATCTCATACAGACTCAATAATGTCGGCTTGACAGACATTGCAGCATTGGCAAGGAGTGGAAACAGCCCAGAACTGCAAACAATAGAGCATACCTTTTTCAGGAAGCTGCTCATGTGAGACAGTTTTGATTATATCCTAAAAGACTCTTACAGACACGTTCAGCATGTATAAATAGCAGGGTTTTATCTTAGAATTTTGCACAGACACACACCACCATGCTATATGACTAGTAGCAACAAAGTATCTACTTACTTCAGAAATTCTATCTGAAAACATGTTCTCAACCAAACAAGAAACCAACTGTTTATGATGGACCATTTAAAAGATTTAAAAAAATCCTAAAAGTATATTTTTGAGGTTACCGTGAAGTGTAACTTCATGAAAGTTACAAATGCGATCAGCTAAATAAAGGACAGGTTTCCTAGACACTAAAAACATTTTTGCCACTAAATATCATAAATTATTACAAATAGCATCAGTAATCAAAGATGTGTGAACACCACTGCTGTTTTCAAAAAAGTCACTGAGGACTCAGCTTAGAAGACCCCTGACACACAGAGAAAAATGTATGAACAATAAAAAAGGTAAGTGTGAAATAAGTTTTTTAAAATACATACCTAAAAATGCATTACTAAAAAATATATATAT